GCACTGCCCCCTGTTCCAGGATGGCCCTTTGGAGATTTTCAGGGAGTGATCTTCCAGCCAACACACACACTGCATGCCTGGCCCCGGTCGGCCTGGCTGTCAGGCTTGGGGACCGCAGGTGTGTGGCTCACCTTGTTCCAGTTGAGGTTGTGGGACTCCCTGGGTAGCTGTTTCTGTGGCCGCGACCCCATAGCCGGCATAAGCGCCAAGACCAGCACACACGTCGGCCTCCCTGGTCCCATTGTCACCCTCCTTCCTCGGCCACCAGGGCACTGAGTTTAAGTCTCCCCACCCACCTGACCCTGCCGTGGGCGTCCAGCCAACCCGGAGCCTTGAGCCAGCCTGGGGTGGGTCAGTGTGGGGGGAGAGGGGCTTTGGGACCCAGGCGGGCGGCCCAGGGGCTCGGCCTGGCGGGTGCTGCCTGAATTTGAAGGCCATTGAGTTCCCCTGTGAGACCCCTGGGCCTCCCATCCTAGCCCCCGCGGAAGAGGGGCAAGCAGCCGGGACGCGTCCCTGTGAGTCACTTCATAGAGATATTTGCACGTGAGAAGCAGGACCACAGTGACGATGGGGCACAGAGGGCACCAGCGTGACAGCAGAGCTCTCCGTCCCGAGCAGGAGCTGATGGACAGGGCTGCTGGATGTGTGTGAGCGTGCCTACCCCTACCCTGCACGCACCGCCCTTCTCCGTGAGTGATGGGCAGCCCCCAGCCCAGCTTCCGCCACGACGTCAGGCGTGGCCCCACCAGACCACAGGAGGAGCCACAGGCTCGGGCCCTCTGGAATCCTGCCCCCTGCCCTGGCCCCAAAGCCCCAGGCCTGGGAAAGCCACACTCTTGTGCCCTGGACACTGTGGCACCCCAGCCGCGCACCCTGGTGGGCACCCACGCCCACTGCGTCAGCCCGCACCTGTCCAGACCCCCGAGGGTCTGCTCTAACTCAGACCGACAGTCCTCCCTCCAGCCCAGGGACTGTGGTGACCTCTGCTTGCGGAGCAGCTGCCCCCAGCCCAGCCCCCACTCAGGAGCCAAGACCCAGGTCCACGTGCCCCCCACCCAGAGCTGGTTCTGGGCTGTATGGCCCAGCCCTCGGTAAGCCCCACGCCCACCTCCTCCCCCTGCACCGACCGGAGCCCCGAGAGGGCAGCGGCCCGTCTGACATTGCCGTCCGCCCTCGGCACACAGGTGAGGGCCTTGTGGGGTCGTTTTATTTGGAACTGCCGTGAGTCCTGAGAGCAGCCCGCCCCACACCAAGCTCCCAGGCGGCTGAGCAAGGAGGCCAGCGCCTGGCCAGCCTCACAGGACTCGGCGGGCACAGTCCCACCTGGAGGTCGATGCATTCACTGAAACCCAAGAAGAGCGTTGCAGGACCCCAGATTCACCTCGAGGGTTGTCTGCCCTGTCCCGGGCCCGGGCTTTCTCGGGGCAGAACTCTGGGGTGTAGGATCTGGGGTGATGCTCAGGAAGGCAGCTTACCTGGAAAGCCTTGTGCGCACAGGTGACTGGGGGAGAAGAGGACTTGTGAGGGTGGGCACCAGGACACACCGCGGCCACCCCGCTCTGCCCACGGCCTCGCCCGAGACAGGGCCGGCCCTGCAGGCCTGGCTTTGGGCAGGAGCAGGTGACTCTGTATAGAGCTCCCCACCCCCACCCTGCCTGACTCCCTGAGGCCCAGAGCAACCCCGACCCGCAGAAGTCACTCAGGGGCCCGTGGGCATCGGGTGACACTCACGGTCCGGCAGCAGCGTGGCCTGCTGCTGAGACAGGAAGCCCAGGACCTTGCTCCACCTAGCAAAGAGGCGAAGGGCCTCCTGGCTGGCCAGCTCCGTCCGGCCTGTGGGGCGGGAGGGGAGCCCTCACCACGTGTGCCCTGTGCCCCAGCCACCCCTCCTGCAGGGGGCTGAAGGGCAGGGATGCTGCTCTGGGACCCTGGGGGCACGGGGCTCAGCACAGTCAGCGGGAGGTTGCCCAGCGTGGCCGCCCGTGGCAGGGAGTTCGTGGGGCCGGCCCGTGGTGTCCACCACTTACTGTACAGCTCCACGGTGTTGAACGCCTCGTCCTTGAACTCCAGCTGCGTGAACACAATGGCGTAGTCCCTGAAGTTGGTGCCCAGCACGCGGTAGTCCAACACTCCCAGGGCTAGGAAATACGTGCGCCCCCAGGGGGGAGCGTCAGACCTCACGAGAGGCTCCCCCGGGAAGCTGAGCGCTCCTGGGCATTGTCCCCTGGTCCCCAGAGCCAGCACACAGAGGGCCTCAGGGACGGATGGCCGGCGAGTGCCTGTCCCAGCTCATGACAGGGGGATACTCCACCGATCATGTCCCCTCGTGGGCACCACCCCAGACGGAGGCCCGGGGTCACTGCGGGGCACGCCAGGGTGAGCCCTCTGTCTTCCAACCTCTTACAAAATACGTCCTTTCACTTTCTAGTGGAAGTCTCGGGGATGGGCCCGCTCCCCAACCCAAAGCATTGGCCAGGCGGCAGGGGATGCCAGCCCAGGCTGCTGGTGGCGGAACCCACTGGGGAGGGCCCGGAAAGCCAGCCCATCCCCCACCGCCCCGCGCCACATGCCCCGCATGAAACCGTGGAGGCCGTCGCCTTACAGGGGTTCTCAAACACCCATCCAGAGCTCTGTCTCAGCAGCTCCACCACGTTCACGTCACACCTCTCCAGCCTGGAAGAGAGACCGTCCGTCCTCGGCTCAGGGTCTGGACACAGGCCCAGAAGAGACAAGGGTCCTACCAGCTGCACCTGGGCAGCCACCAGCGTGCCGCACAGGGGATCCTGGCTGCCGCTGACGGCCCCCGTTGCCCGGAAGCCTCGTTCTGCACCGAATCCAACCTGGCCTGGGAATGAGCAGACACGAGAGCCCTGCAAAGTGCAATTTGACTTCCTTCCACCTCCCAAGAGGCCTCCCGTGCTGGGAGCCACGTGACGGGCACAAAAGGAGCCTCGGACAAACACAGGGTCGTCTGCAATTGTGGGTAAAGGCACTCAGCATCCAAAGGGACCGATGTCCCCGAAGCGGTCAGTCCATAAAGTGAACCAACCACAGAAATGCAGCGGTCTTTGCTCACTAAGATGAGCTCATGGCTGGGAAATTCCAGAGGGAAGAACAACAGGCAAGAGCCATGCAGTAAACTGAGGCAGTGTGGCACAAAGCTGCAACAGGTGAAACAACGGGGTTTGGAAAATCAGAAGACTGATCAAAGGAATGGATGGGAAGTCCAGAAACAGGGGCGCCTGGGTGGCTCCGTCCATCAAGCGTCCAACTCTTGGTTTCAGCTCAGGTGTGATCTCGTGGTCGTGAGACTGAGTCGGGCTCCGCCCTCAGCACAGACTCTGCTTGAGATTCTCGCCCCCTCCCTCCGCCCCTCCCGCTCGTGCTCTCTCACTATCTCGAGAATAAATAAATAAATCCTAAAAAAAAAGTCCAAATATAAAGCAAAATGGGAGCATGCGAATTTAGCGCGTGAAAAACTCAGCCGGAGTCCGTGGAGGACAGAGAGGCAATTCGATAAATGACGTGGAGGACACGGTGCCGGGTGAGATCAGCCCGGTGCGCGGCGCAGAGACCGATCCCCAAGGATCCACTCCCCGGAGGCCCCGGAGGAGTCGGACCCACAGAAACAGGGGCGGGGGAGGGGAGGGGTCCGTGTTCAACGGAGACGGACGGAGGGGGTCGGCTGCACAACAGTGTGAATGTGCTTGACGCCCCTGAGCTGTGCGCTTAGACGTAGCGAGGACAGTAAATCTCTGCGCTGTGTTTATCTTCCTACAACTTTGAAAAATGTCATAAAGACAAAAGAGAACAAACTTTGAAATGTTTTAAAAGAGAGCAGAGCCTCTGTGGACTGATCGGAACAACCCCCCGCGTGTGTGGGCAAATGACACACGGGTGCTGGTGTGTGCCTGCCCTCACGTCCCTAACACGGGCTACCCTCAGGGAGGAGACGGGCTGGCTGAGGCAGGTGGGGAAGGACCCCCACGGTACACCCTGGGGAACCCTGATTTTTGAGCCATGCAAGTATCTTTACTGTCCAAAGGCCAACGAATGAAATTTCATTACACAACAAAACATGAGAGGCCCACTTGCCTCTCCTCCAAGCCCTGATCCGAATGTGTGTCTGCAGGCGGGGCCTCAGCACAATCCACCTTTCCAAATCAGGGTCCGGCCCAGGTCCCTGGACAGAGATGCGCCTTGACACCGGCACCAGGAGAGGCTGCTGACCAATCATTCCAATGAGCAGATGCAAAAATGGGGTCTGAGCCCTGCGGCATCCCCGTGGCTCCTATGGCATCCATGGCTTTGCATAGGGCCCAAGGTCCTCCAGAGGCCCAGCTTCTGTATTTGGATGTCTGATTCCACCTGCTTCACTGGGATGACCCAGCCACGTGGCTTTGGGGCCAACACCATGGCCCGTGGGACCAAGCTCACCCGACACCATGGAGCTGCCATCCTACCCCAGACCCCCCCTGCCCTTGCTTGTCCCAAGGCCAGGCCTGGCCCAGGTACACCCGGGCCCCACATCTCCTGCAGGCAGATGCAGGAATGGGAGGGAGGGTACCTGGAGTCCCCCAAGAACACGCGGTTCTTCAGCACAAGGCATGACCCACTTCAAGCAGTAGCTCGAGAGGGGTTTGCCCAGGAGGCCTCTCGCACCCCGGCATGAGTCCCACCCAGACACAGGGCACACACCTCACTCACCTGTGCCTGGAGGACAACATTTTCAGGTTGTTTTCTGGAGTAAGGGTCACCATGACACCCTCGATGTTCTTTGTGGCCTTCTCCAACGCAAAGCCCTTCTCACCTGAGGCCACGGCCAGAACATACCAGGACCCCAGAAGCTGGTGGAGGAGGAGCAGGTGAGGGGGGCCAGCCCCTCCAGCCCTTGGAGGCGTCCTCTCTCTGTCTGGGATCCCAGGGCCCCTTCCTCAGGCTAGCCCATCCCCCCATAGCCAGTGCCGGTCTGGGTTGACTCTGGGAGGGTAACCCAGAGGCTGTGTGGCCCCACGGGAGGGGCCTGGGCCCCTAGGACCAACAGGAGGGCTGTTACCGGCTTAGGGTCCAGCCTCCCCAACCACACTGCCTGGGTCCTAGGCACTGAGACCAGAGCCAGCAGGACAGCCCGCAGGACAGCCCGCATCCTCCCAGAGATCCACACACCAGCACACGTGCCTCGGGGCCAGGGGCGTGCAGTCCCTCCAGCCCCTGAAAAACCATTTATATGTCTCTGAATGGGTCACTGTGGGCGGCCGCTACCCACCAGGACACCATCCTGGCCTCTCTTTTTGCAAGGTGGGGAAATTACCCAAGGGCGGGTGGCATTATTATTCAGTGGTGGCCTCTGTGCCCTGCCCAGATGTGCTAGAGAACGGGGAGTGGGCCCCTGGCGAATGTGTGCCAAGCACACACAAAGCGTTCTTTGTCAACGCCGCCATGCCAATCCCTGCTTCTGTATGCTTCCTTCCACTGGAAGCTTCCAGAATGAGCATCCTAAACCCAGTCACACCACCTCCTTCCTCCCTGGGGACTCAACACTCTTGAGCCTTGCTCAGTCTGGGAAGGCCAGTAACCCTGGTCCTTAACCCTGGCTGGCAGTAGGCCAAGGCCAAGTCCCAGGGGAGGCACAGACAGTTCTTCCAGAAGCTGAAGGTTCGATCTTTTGTTTCAATCTTAAAAAAAAAAAACAAAAACAAAAACAGAAACCAAATTTTTTTTAAAAAGCTCCCACCCCTTCATGGCTTACCCATTATCCCGCTCTGTGGGTCTTGGCCTCCTGCCCCCACCCCCAGTCAGCACCCAGCCCGGAATGTCCCGTTCCTTCTGTTGCTCCACTCCACCCGTCTGAACGCATCCACCCTCTGGCCCACCTCGGGCTTGCTGCCTCCCACCTCTGCACTCCATGACCCTGGCCAGACACCCCAGGAGCTGCACAGCCCCCAACGTCCCATCGGAGCTCTGTATGGGCCTGGCTTCTCAACCCTGCATCATCTGCTCCCCTAGCTGGGAGCAGAGGACAGAGGGCTTGGTAGGATCTGTCTGAGCCCCTGAAATCCAAGGGGAGGTGGCTGGGAAGATCCTTCCCTGGGAGGTTGGAGGGAGTGGTGGAATGTTCAGACTACATCTCCAGACCCCTTTGCTGGCTGGCTTCCAGGGGTTCTATCAACACAAAGACAAGGAAGATTTGGAGGGTGGAGGAAAGATGAAGCCATTTGTCTTGCCAGGCCTTTCTAAGGAGGGACCTCTGCTAGGCCACCACTCCAGCCCCTGCTTGGGAGATGAGTTTCCTGGTGAACGAAAGGAAACCAGCCCTTGTACAAATGTGCAGCTCAACTTTGCACCACCCCAGGGCCTGGGGAGTCTCAGGCCTCGAACACGGATTAGGGTGTCCCGTGACTACCAGCTTCCCCAATGCCTGGCAGAAGAAGATGAAATACAAGGACAAAAATATCACCCTACTCTTCAAATTAATCCTGTTCATCATGTTTTTTCAAGTACAGTTTCCTGATGCAACATTTGAGGAGACAAAGATGAAAGAAGAGAATCACAGCAGAAGAAAGAGATAAGAGAAGCAGACCCACCAATGCTCCCTGCGTTGGAATTACAAGACAGGCTCTCGTAGTCCACTTGGGCTGATATCACAAAAAAACGCACACTGGGTGGCTTATAAACAACAGGCATTTATTTCTCAGTTCTGGAGGCTAAAAGTTCTAGTCAGGGTGCTAGCAGGGTCAAGGAGGGCCTCTTGTGGGTCACAGACCTCTCACAGTGTCCTCATGGTGGAAGGGGTAGGGGAGTTCTGCTGTGGGGTCTCTTTCATAAGGGCGTGGATTCCATTCAAGAGGCTCCACCATCATGACCTAGTCCCCTTCCAAAGCCCCACTTCCCAATGCCATCCTACTGGGGGGTAGGACGTCAACATGAGTATTGGGGGTAGACACACACATCAGGACCTCATAGATTGTGAAAACAGCTATGATCACCTTGCTTAACAAGATGGGAGCCACATTTGTAATTATATTGTATTTTCGCAATTCTCATAATACAGCTGGAAACCAAAGAAAGTGGCATAGATAAGAGACATCTGTGTAACCCAAAATAATCTTAGAGATTGCAGATTTGGAGAAAAATATGTACAGGTTGTACTACAAAGGAGACATCTTAAATCCTGGGAAAAAATTGATTTTTGGAAATAAATCAGGACAACTAGATATCCACTTAGAAGAAGATTAAAATGAAGCATATTCACCTCATGCATGAGAACAAACATCAAAAGGATCAGAGATCTAAATGCTAAACATGGAAATGGAACCATATGAGTAATAAAAGAAATCACTGGTGAGTTTCTGTATGATGTGGATGTAGGGAAATGCTTTCTAATTGTATCAGATTTCACTCCTGAAGGTGGAACCATTAGGAGGCATATAGATTCACAAATAAGGGGTTTGTGGCAGGAGGTTGACCTCACATCACTGTAGGAGCTCATTTCACAGGCCCTGTAAGGCTTTTGTCTTCTGGGGATTCCGGGCAATGTCATGCAGCCCAGGCAAATCAAGCCACTACAGACCCATAGGCCACACTAACTATGCATAAAATCCAGATGTAATAAAAGAAAGTACTGATAAATAACTTGACGATATTTTTAAAAAGTTTTTATAGCAAAAATAAAGGCATAAACAAAGTCAAAAGATGAATGACAAGTCTGGAGAAAATATTTCCAACATAGATCACATGCAAGGGCTAATAGCCATACTCTATAAGACACTTTTAGATATTAAAGGAAAAAAGGGCTGACAACCCATCAGAAAAAATGGACAAATGACATAACCAGATAATTCACACGAAAAAGTTAAAATGACCCCTAAACATATGAAAAGATGTCTCTTATGAATTGCATTCCACCAACCCCCGCCCCCACCAATTTCTATGCTGAGGTCCTGACCCCAGAACCTTAGAATATGACTCTGTTCAGACATGGAAGCTTTTAAAGAGTTCGTTAAGTCCAAATGAGATTGTTCAGGTTAAACATACCTGGGGTCCTTATCAGAAGAGATTAAGGGACACACACACACACACACACACACACACACACACACACACACAGGGGCGCCCATGTGGGGACATGGGGAAAGGATGGCGATCTACACACCAAGGAGAGAGGCCTTGGGAGGAACTGGCCCTGCCACACCTGGGTCTGACTCCAGCCTCCAGAGCTGGGAGAGAATACACCTCTGATGGTTAAGTCTGTGGTGCTTGGCAATGGCAGCCCTGGTGAATGGATACAATGTCCATTTTCATTCACAGTAAGAAAATGCAAATTAAAACAATGTGGAGATGCCATTTATCGCCTATCATCCTGCTAAAAATTGCAGAGCTTAGCCACACCACCCACACTTTGGCCACACGAGCATGCCCATGCACTGCCTGTCAGACCGCAAATGGTACCATCATTACAAAGGGGACTGTGGCAACATCTAACAAAACTTAACTCCATGCCCATTTGTCTTTTGTTCTAGAAATCCCACTCACAGGAATCTATGCTAAGGAAGTACCTGAGACAATACAAACTATATATACACACACATATATGTAGTTACTGAGTGGTTACTCAGTAAAGCATGTTTGTGATTGAAAACTGTTGGAAGTCGGCTAGGTGCCCACACCCAGGAGACTGTTTGAATCAAAGATGGTGTACCCACAAACAGTCCTATGCAGCTATAAAAGAATAACCCGAAGGTCTCTATGAACCAACATGGGGTGAGTGCTATCACATGAAGGTGTATTGTAAAGTGGAAAAAGCCAAGTGCCAAAGGGCATGGGAAGCACACAGCCTTCTAGGTGAGACAGAAAGGATGATAAGGAAACGTACGTTGTCTGCTTACTTCTGCAAGAAGAAACACAGGAAGGATAAATCGGAGTCTAAAGAGCTTCGTCACCCACAGGGGTAGGCCTGGGAGGAAGTTAGACCCCCTCCCCACAGCATACCTTCTTTTATGTTGTTGTTGTTTTCCAGATTTATTTATTTATTTTAGAAGAAGAGAGAGAGAGCAGGGGGAGGGGGAGAGGGACTGGGAGAGAGAATCTTCAAGCTGACTCCCTGCTGAGCTTGGAGGAGCCCGGCGGGGGGCTCCATCCCACGACCCTGAGATCATGACCTGAGCCGAAATCAGGAGTCAGACGCTTAACTGACTGAGCCACCCAGGCGCCCCTGAGCATACCTTCCTTGTGTAGCTTTGATTTTGGGATCATGGTAATCTACTGCACTCAATAATAAATGAATGGAATACAACTGTATTATAAGCAAATGACATAACCACGGGAAGGGGGGCAACGGAATCAGCCCTGAGAAACTTTGGATAGAGTAGTTTTTCTATATGTTCTCAGCCTAAAGAGGAAAGGAGCTCTAAACAAATGCTGAGTTCTGGTCTTTCGGAGGCTTGCTCTCTGCAGTGCTTTGGGTAAGCAACTCTAGAACTGCTTTCCGTGCGCTCAGGGGCGGGTCAGAGGAGAATGGTTTTCCCAGGCTTGGGAAGGCATGGGGAAAGGGGGATCTCTCCGCTGAGAAGGTTCAACACCGTTCTGTCCCAGTGAGAAGCAAAGCTGAGTGCACCTGGCCCCCAGACCTTGGTTCCTCAGTACTGTTCTCTACAGAAAGGAACCAGGCTCCTTGGAGAGACTCTTCCAAGGTTGAATCACAGGAAGCACAAGAGGAACTTGGATTGATTCTGGTCCCAGAGAGTAAACATGTGTTTGAGGAATCAGGGGAACGTGTCAAAAAGACTCGGGGGCCATCCTGAAGGAGCCCCCACTGGACAAATCTGCACAGGTTTGCGTATCAAGGTAAAAGACCGCAATATGCGATAATTTATGGAAGGAAGGAGGGCTGCCCACGTCCGTACTGACAGACAAGACACACGTGGAGGAGAAGTGAAGACCCAAGGTCCCCGGAGGACGCTGACCAGCTACACTGAGCCACGCTCTCCCAGTTTCCCAGCCCTCCTGAGCTCCCTGCAGACCTGCGTGGGCATCACCCACGACGTCCCTCAGCCTGAGGACCATGCTAACATTTACTTCTTGTACTGCATGTGTGCTAGGGACAAACTCTCTGCACTTCAATCTATGTAAACTTAGCTTCATTTCCTGCAATTCCGAGTTGTTTGGGAGATGTGCCTCCACGCCTGGCCTCCGCTGGTAAAGTGCCCTTCTCCCCAGCTCCGTTCACATAGTCTGCAAACCGCTGCTGTGCCTCACCCGGCGATGTCCCTGGGCGTGGTGCATCTGTCCTGCGTAGGCGTCCCTGAGCCTCAGGCATGTGTTTCATAGAGTGGGGCATGTTTTGGCCTCTATTTCTTCAAATATTTTTCTGCCCCATTTTCTCTGCCTTCTCTTGCTGGGGTGAGTCTACGTGCCCGACCTCGCCCGCACCCCAGTCATTCTCTGCTCTGCTCCTTGGCTCCGATGATCGGCGTTGATTTGTCCAGTGTCCGGCCACCTGCAGTCCGCTAAGCCCGTCCAGGAAAGCCCGGGGCCCGGCGACCCCGCGTGGCATCAGCACTCCGGCCTGGCTCTCCACGCAGTCTCCGGCTCCGAGGGCCCTATCTCTTCCCACTTAGTTCTCTGTGCATTAGCTGACTGTTTAATTCTGCCCTTTCAGAACGAGCTAGCCCCCGAGCCTGCCCTCCTTTTGTCCTTGAGCTTACTTATGAGGGCAGAGCTGGGCCGATGTGTTCGAACCCCGCCAGCGGCCCTTCTGGGGCCACCTCCTCGTCTCCCACGCCCCTCGTTTCCTCGCGCGTCCAGCGGCCTGTGTGCTCACACTGCCTTGCAGAGGCCCGGGATGCCCTTGTCGCCCCTGAGTGGTGTGGGCTTTTGTCGGGGACGGAACTGCGTCCCCAGAAATGCCACTGTTGAAGCCGTAGTCACCACTGCGGCTGAGTCTGGAACTGGGGCCTCTCAGGCGGTGACGGTGACGGGGTGCGGGGGGCTCGTGCGGGTGGGGCCGCATCTGCTAGGACTGGCGCCCTTCTAAGAGGCGGGGAGCCCCAGCGATGTCTCCCAGTGTGCGGAGTGGAGGCCACGGGCGGGCACCACGGGAAGCCCACCAGCCCCAGGCCGGGAAGTGGGCTCTCACCAGAGACCAGCCCTGTCAGCGCCCTGACCTCGGGCGTCCAGCTTCAGAAGTGTGAGAAATAAACCCCCGATGTCCCGGGGCCACCCCCGGCCCGCCGTACTCTGTGACGGCTGCCCAAGCCGATGCAGATGACTCTGTCCCCTTGCAGGCATGTCACCTTGCACTCCTTGCAAGCTTTGGCTGGACAGATCCGTGGAAAATCCAAATTGTCCCCAAGCACCCCTAATCTGTCAGAATGCAGCTTCCAAACATCCCTCCTGTGGGTCTTTTGGGAACTTGGCTCAGGAATCGGTCCGGCAAGTCCCAGGCAGGCCCCACCCTCGGGGCAGGCCTCGCTCCTGGCTGGACGCCTGAGTCTCACCGGGCTTCCTCTGCTCTGGCGGGGCCGGTGCCCGCCAGTCCCCCAGCACTGCTGGACCTCGGGGACCCCTCTCCTGCCTCATCCATGAGGCAGCTGCTCCGCAGAAGCCTTGGACGTCCCCGGCTGTGCTCAGAACCGTGGAGCTGACACCCGCCCCACTTTCCCTGCCCTGACCAGGCCACCCTGGATGCCGTCCGGTCTCAGCCCCAGGCGATGGAAGAAAATGGGGTGGTCACACAGTCAGTGCAGATCATGGGGTGACAGAGTTCAGGATGGGGACCCAGACACTGAAGACGTTGGACCAACCATGCAGGGTGGGTGAGGGGGGGGCCAGCAGGGAGAGAGAACAGCCAGACTGGAGGGCCCTGGCTACGATGACCGTGGGATTTGACTTCGGGGCAGTAGGGAGCCATGGAAGAATGTCGGCAGAAATGCAGCATGGTCCCCTTTCATCTGCGAGATCTAACCTGCAGCTGTGCTCAAGGGCACCAGGCCTGGGGCCGCTCAGGCTCTCGGGGAGCAGGGCGGTAGCCTGAGGATGACTGTGGGGCCCACACACCTGGGCAGCTTGGGTTGTGGCCCCTGAGCAGGGCAGGGCTGGGCATGACCCTCGGGTGGGAAGGAGGGAGAGGGCCCTGCCATCCTGCATCTGAGCTGTGCGGTCCCCGGGCCCCACAGGGAAGGAAAACGGACCAGACCGGACGCCAGCCTGGCCAGTGGCGTCCCCCCAACTCAGCCGTCTCTGGGCAGAGATCCAGCCAGGGATGGGATCTGAATGGCTCCCGCTCACCAGCGATGCTCTCGGTAGGCACAGACCACCAGAGAGTTAGGTTTGCTGTCACTGTCAGGACAGTCCTGGAAAGCACACCCCACGGCCCCACCCATCACCCCTCAGGCCCCGTTCCCCCAAGAAGGACACTCGGGGCAGTGGGTTTGTCAGTGGGGTTTATTTGGAGCAGGAACAAGCAGCGCCCTGGGGGCCAGGAGAGGCGGGCGGTGGGTGGGGCGCAGAGCTCGGAGCATCCCGGCCTGGGCACAGGGATCCTCTAGACCAGCTCCTGAGGCACAGAAGGGCAGGGCCTCAGGGCACTGCCTGGCCTCCAAAGGCCCCTCGGGGCAGTGGTTAGGGCCACGAGTGGGGGCCCGTGCCCTAGCTGCGTGACTGCAAGCAAAAAGCCTCCCGGGGCCTCAGTTTCTCTCCCTACAAGGCAGGGTCACAGTCCCCAGTTCTCGGGGCTGTGCTGAGACAGAGGGGATCGTGCAGGGGACGGGCTAGCACCGTGTGGGACACAGGGAACCCGAGACGGTGCCCACAGGGCTGTGTGCCCACCCAGGCAGGATGTGAGTGCCCTGAGGCCAGAAAGGCAGGCGAGGGCCCAGCCCCCTCCCGTCCCTCCCCCAGCCCTGTCCTCGAGCCCCCAGCCTCCGGGGTCCCCCTCTGGCAGCCTGGCGTCCACACCCTGGAGGCCCAGGATACAGAGGGATTCAGGACCCCTGTCAGGTCGGAAGACTCAGCTTGGGGGGCTCAGCGCAGCCCAGGGCACGGCTCACCTCCTTCAGGAGCTTGGCGCATCTCCCTGTGGACAGGGGTGGCGTGAGGTGCCACAGGACTGGGCCCTTCCCACCCTCAGGGCCCCCAGCCCGGTGCCCACCCAGAAGGTCTGGGGCTCACCATGCCGGGCCACCAGGTAAAGCCCCATGTCTGCTGTCATCTCCCGGAATCTCCAGAAGCCTGGCCCATACTCGTCCTCCAGGCTCCGAGCTGTGGGGGGCACAGGGGCACTGGGCTGGGCGGGGCTATCCCCAGGAGGGGAGCAGCAGGCCCCCCTCCCCCCCAGGGTGCACTTACTGAAATACTTGAGCACATGGTAGTCCTTGCCTTGCCAGTGGAGCGACAGCCTCAAAATGGCATACTGTTCATAGTCTGTGTCTATCACGTGGATCTCCCTGTGGCCTGGCAGCAGGTGGGAGGGGAGAGACTGCAGGCATGCCGACAGGTACCGCGCAGCTTGGGAGACCTCCGAGGTGGGGTGTGGGGTCTTACTCCATCCTCTCCCCACCCAGCGCCCGGACCTGCCCATCATGCTAGGCATGGGGGGAGGGGGACGTGTAGAGCAGCCCTTGAAGGATGACCTACTTGTGTTAAGAGAATGGGAGCATCTGGGGCATGAGGAGGAGTGCAGGGAACAGCATGGGGAACAGCATAGGAAAAATAGCAAGGCCAAGTGTAGCTGGTATGCAGGGCCAGGGGGTTGAAACTATAGCAACAGGCAAGGGTTCTTACCAGGAAAAACGAATGTCCCCGAAACATCTATTTCTGAGCTCACTATTTTTTCTGTCTCACAACTTCCTGAGCTGAAAGGCAGCAACGTGCTCATCAAGGAAATGCCAGCCTGCATTCTTTCTGCCGGGCACATCCCGGGGGGTGTAGAGAGGGGAATGTATCCTCAGAAAGGGCTCCAGCAGTGTGTCTGTCCCCAGGAGAGCCTGGGCCAGAATGAGGGTGGTGGAGGTGCAGAGCGGGGACCTCCAGAGAGCCCTGTGCCCACTTTTCTTTCTTATAACTTAATGGGACTTTATCAAAACTCTACGCTTATTTTTGGGAGAATTGAAGGTCTGGGGCAGATCTACATGTGGCAGAACCAGGAGCCTGGGGGGGGTTGGTGCTGGGAATGGGAGTCAAGGTCTTGGCTTTGGACACAGGGAGGACACCACAGCTGCAGGGGTGCAGCCGGACTGCTTCCAGGCACTCGGCCTCACATACCTGTTCCTACCAGGGCTCCCGGGGGAGGGACCCCTCACCTGTTATACGCAGCCTTCACAATCAGCTCATGTCCACTCAAGGTCAGGAACAAGGCTTCCAGCCTCTTTGGGGTCTTCAGTGCCAGGTTTTGGCTGGAGGCCACACCAACTTCCCGCCAGAATCCCACAATCTAGAGAGAGAAGCCGGAGCCCCGTCCGACATGGCAGACCCACCCAGGGCCCCCGAGCAGGGTGCCAGGGGTCCGTGAAAGGTCAGCAAGTCTTTGTGGCAAAGCAGCGGTCACCATCCTTCTGAGGAGCCCCTCCAGCCCATCAGACAGCAGTGCACCGTCCCTGGGGCCAGGACGTGAGGGGCAGCAGTGGTTGGGGCCCGAGAGAGGAGGCAGCGGCCAGCAGCCCTTGTCACCCACGGAGGGTACAGCTTCGCCCCCACACTGGGACCTGGGGTAGGGAACTCCCACCTTCTGAAATCCACCCACAGCCCAGAACTTCCATCTGAAACCTGGAAACCGATTGTTTTGCAAGAAAAAAGAATACATGTCCCCAGTACGTGTCATCCCTGAGCCTTCTGACGTGCTCCCAGCTTGGATGCCAGTGCAGACCTGTAAAGAAGGACCTGGGGCCCCAGACGAGCTCCCCGCACTGGGAAAGCGTCCTCCGGTCGCCACACTGTGCGGCACCCTGGGAGCTGGTACAGCAGGGCTGCTCCCAGGCACTTGGCCTGTTCCTACCGGAGCTCCTGGGGGACTGACCCCAATGATCCAGGAGCAGGAGGTGGCCACACTGAGCCCCGGTCCCTGGAGACCCTGGAGGACCAGCCTGCCTGCCCACGGGAGACCCTCAGGGAGGGCTCTGGGCCTGCAGGTCCCTGGGCACTTGCTCTCACACCCCCTTTCCAGGACAGGGGTGACCAGCCAGGCTGGGCTCAGAGCCTCAGCCGCCTGCTCTGTCCAGGCTGACCTGGGTGGGTCCTGGGGCCCCTGATGTAGCTGCTGTGGCATCAGCTGGGGGTTGGAGGGACAGGGGGGCGGTGGCTGGAGTGGAGTAGTTGGACACTCAGGCCCCTCCCTGTCCCGGCCTCCCCACGTAAGACAGAAAAGCCACCTTCTGCAGATCCAGGTCATGTATGGCTGTGGCCCCCTGCACCATGACGACACCCAGGATGGCACTCAGCAGCCCAGCCTCCATCGCTGCTCTCAGTGCCTCTGCTCCCCCAGCACCTGGGTTTATACCAGAGGAGTGTTGCGCAAGAACCTGAGAATGTCATCAGCACACGTGGCCGAGACCGCTCAGCGAAACAGCTTTCTGCAGGGGCGCCATGCAGGCCCAGTGACACCCACAGCCGCTGGGGCGGGGTCAGCCTGCACGAACGCAGTGGCACCACCACCCTCCTGGCCTGGGACGACAGGGGACCCGGCAGTGGGGCGGCTGGGGACCACAGCTCCAGGCCTGTAGGAGATGACAGACGGGTATGGCGTGCCCAGGCCCCCAGGCACAGAGCTCCTTCCTCACGGGGCATGGGCGGTTTTCAGGCTCTTTCTGATCAGTCTTGGGACAGGTGAAGAAAGGCTCCGAGGGTCTGGTATGGCTGGCTGAGGCAGCACTGAGCTGGGGGAGAATGAGGGGTCTCCTCTTCCTGGGGAGGTCCCCACGGGGAGGCGAAGCTTGGGAGCAGCATGGGAGAGGCACAGAGGCCCCTGGGAGACAGAGGTGGGGGCCACATCTCAGGGACCTCTGCGCACACTGGGGAGCCACCTTCCTGTGGCCCATGTCCCCGTCCACCGTGACCATACCCAGCCCCGCCCCCAGGCCAGGCCCCATGCCCGACCCCCCCTGGACTCACTCAGGCCTCCCACACACAGCCGGGTACGACCCACAGTCCAGAAGGCCGGCCTGAGAGAGGCCCTGTCTTCCTGACCCACCGACCTGATGCACACAGCCAGGACATGAGCCAGGGTGGTGGGAGGCCAGAGCCGGCTCTTCCCCAGCTGGGCCCCCCCCCTGACAGATTTTATCCCAACAATAAGCACGGCAAGAGCAGCTGGGCTTCGGGGACAGCAGCCCTGGCCCGGCCAGCTGTGCGGCTCAGGGCAAGCTGTGAGCCTTGGTTTCCCATCTGTAATGGCCACAAAGCAGGGGGACAGGTGCCATGTGGCCAGGAGGGATCTGAGGGTGCCCAGAGCAGCTCCTGCCCAGATCAGCATCCCTGGGTCTTGACCAGTAAGAGGCAACCTTCCCAGCTTCAGAGCCAGAAAAGTGCACCCTGGAACGGCTCCAGGCTTGGTCAGCTAAAGGGGAGCTCCCCCCACCAGGGGGACTGGCCACCTCGGATCCTGGGTGCTGCACTGCCCTCCCAGAAAGGCTGCCAGTTTAGGGTCAGGCACAGGGGGAAAGGTCAGGCCAGGACAGGGAGGCCCAGAGCTGGCCAGCCCGCCAGAGGCCGAGGGGGCCACCACACAGCAAGAACAGCAGGGGCCCCCCAAGGAAGCTGAGGACTGGCTGGTCTGGGCCCCAGGCTGCTCCCAGCCTGGGCTGATGAGAGAGGCCCCCCCCTCAGGGATGTGCTTAGCCAGGCAGCAGAGGAAGCATGGGGGACGATGTCTCTGGGTGACCAGGGGAAGGACAGATGCCCCTCATCTGATCTGGCTGATTGCCTCCGGCTCCAGCCCTGGGAAGGCTGCTGGACACCCATGAGCAATGAAGCAGGACCCCCACCACCTTCCTGCCCCACCCCACGCCCGGCCCTTTGAAGTGTGTGCCCTGGACATAACCTGGACATGCAGAGCTCCTACCAGGAGAAGAACGGCAGTGGCCAGAGGCCCCCAGGGAGGGCTCTCTTCCCCACCAACATCTCATAGAGGGTCCGCAGGGAGCCCAGGCCCTGGAGCCTGACCACTGGGCCTGAACCTCAGCCTGGCCCCTTGTGGGCAAGTCACCAACTTCTGTATGCCTCAGTTTCCCGAATAAAGAATGCAGCAAGCTCACTGTGTGTATCCAGGGGTCCACTGTGGAGCATATGACATGCCAAAGGTCAAGGTCACCCCAACGGCAGGAGAGAACACCCCCATGACCCTGCTTCGAAGCCCCCATGTTGCTGTGCCCCGAGCTCCTGCAGCCAGGGGTCTGTGCATGCCCAGCGGAGCCCCAGCAGCAAGCCTGGTCTTCACAGGGCACCCTGGCTCCCTGAAGGTGCTGTGAACCCATGGGCGACAGGACAGTGGCATTAGACACCGCCTACTGGTACAGCCCCTCAAGGGTGCCACACTGGACTGGAGCCTCCGGTGCCCAGTGGTCAGTGTCTCCTGCAGGCCCACTTCCCTGCCTCAGTTTCCCCAGGAGTCCTGGATCAAGACAGGGCTCACTGTGCCTTCCCCCAGGGCCTCTGCAAAGAAGTGAGGGGCCTCTAGACTGCAGAATATGTTTATTGAGTGGAAGAGGGAGGTCTGGGGATAAAGAAGAGGGGGTGACCCAGGAGGGTGGTGGGTCTGGACAACTCGGGACGACAAGGTCTGCTGGTCCAGCTCACCCTGCCAGACAGGAAAGGCACGGTCACTCCATGCGCCCACTCTCAACAAACACTCCTCAGAGCCTCTAGCTGCCCCCATCCACAGCAGGGTGCCCCCCCAGGCACACCAGGGGCCACTACAGCACAGCAAAACCCCCAGACTCAGCACCTGAGAGGGGGTCAACTTGGGGCGCTTTACCCTGAAAGTTGGGGCAGAGCACGCAGCAAGAAGCTGGTGCTCATACTCTCCAAAGGTAGAAGCTTCCGGAGGGTGATCTGACACATCCCTGCCCCCTCTCCTCCCACCTAAGACAACTGCCTGTGTGGTGCAGACAGGGCCAGGAGGCTGGCAGCATCTTCTAGACCCATGAGAAGTCTAAACAGCCCAAACACCCCACTGGGTGACTAGCCAGCACAGCCAGGGAGAGCAGGATGCCGGGCGGGGTGCCGGGCGGGGTGCCGGGAGGGGTGCCGGGCGGGGTGCCGGGCGGGGTGCCGGGTGGGGTGCCGCGTGGGGTGCCGGGAGGGGTGCCGGGCGTGATACCAGGAGGGGTGCCAGGCACACTCCCTGCAGGGTGAGGAAGGAGCCCCACCACACAAACACAGGCCTGCCAGGAGGGGCCACAGGGCTGCCTCTGACACTTCTGTTATTTATCGTTTTATGTGGGTTCCCAAACTATTCACTGTGAACTCCATAAGGGGCTGGACAGTTTCCTGGCATGTACTTGGGAGAAGGTGTCCCCAAGAGCCCACCTGCTTCCATGTCCCAAGGGCTCACGGGGACCCAGCCCTGTGACAGCAGTGATCCACAAGGTGGCAGTTCCCACCTCATGGGACCCTCTAGGGGAGACCAAGTACTCAGTTCCAAGGCCCAGCACCCCAGGGGGGGAGTCAGGCTGTGGGACACACAGCACACACTGGATTGACAGCGTCCCCCAAAATTCATGTCCACCCAGGTCCTCAGAACGGGACCTTACTTGAAGACAGGGTCTTTGTGGACGTGACGAGTTAAGGATGGAGATGAGGGATGTAGGGTGGGCCCGGCCCCCGTGACTGGTGTCCTCGTAAGAAGAGAGACATTTGAACACACGCAGAGGGAGGACAGCCGTGTGACCATCGAGGCAGAGGGAGCGGGGTGGGTCTACAAGCCAAGGGACGCCAAGGGACGCCAGCACCCGCAGAAGCTGGGAGAGGCCGAGATTCTGCCCTCGAGCCTCCAGAAGGAAGCAGCCCGGCCCACTGCTTGACTTTGGGCCTCTGGCCGCCAGAACTGTGGGGAGTACACTTCTGTCATATGTGGTAATTTATTAAGGCAGCCCTAGGAAATCAGAGGAGGCTTCCTGGAAGAGGTAGCATGTAAGCTGAGGCCTGAATCGTGAAAGTGGACGGCCAGGCAGCTGGGCGGAGGGTGTGGGGAGTGGGATCGTGGGAGGCAGGGTGCACGGCAGACAGGGCAGGTGGCCAGGGGCTGCCCACACCAGCCCTGGGGGACAGGACGGGGGAGCCACCCTGCCTCCCTCCTACCTGGGAAGGGCCGAGGTGGGTCTCCGCAGGTGTCAGGGAGCCTCCTTGCCCCCAGAGGAGCACATATCTGTGGGAAGGAAGATAGTCCTTGCAAGGCTGAGCTGGCCGGGATGCCCACAGCTTCCTGCAGCCCGACCCCTGGGTGCCTCGGGCCCTCAAACAGCCCCACCCACTGAAAGACTCTCCCTTCCTGGTGGCCCAAAACCTCTTCCTTAGTGTGTCTTGGGGGAAAGAGGGGGTTGTGGGCAGCAGCGGCTGGAGGGCCTGCCAACCCACCCTTACAAGAGACGCCACCTCATCTGGCTCACTCCCAGGAGTCGGGAAGGGGCCTGTGTACCTGACTTGGGCACCATGACCATCACGTCATCCGGGAGCCCTACGGTGGGGCAGAAGTCCCGGAAGATCTTCACAGCTTGGGGACTTGCTTCCTGGGTCCGGCCTGGGGCAGAGGAGGGCCCATGTGAGCTCTGTGGCTCTCAGAGGAGAGGGGAGGGGGGCAGGGGTCTCCTGGGGCCCACAGAGGTGAGGGGAGGGGGGCAGAGGTCTCCTGGGGCTCTCAGAGGTGGAGGGGGGCGCAGAGCTCTCCTGGCCTCCGTGCTCTTCCTTGAGAGTTGACAGCAGGTCTACCACCCAAGATGGGACAGGTTGTGCACTGCACCAAAGTGCCTGCCTGGCTGGGGGATCAATGGGAACTGGAAGCCACCCAGAAGGGTGTCCTTTCCTAATTCACAGGGGGTATCTGGGAGATTGGGATCGCCTGGCTCTTCCCCAGGGCCATGTCCCCCTCGGCCCCCACCCCTCAGGCCAAAACCAGTGTCCAGCCCTCACCCCAACCTCCGTATCTTGAGGAGCCCCTGGCCCGCTCTGCCAAAGCCCTGGGAAATTAAAGCAAAATAGGACCTCAGCCCCCACTTAGGCTCTCAGGCAGTGGGTCCCCACCCTCAGGAGGCCTGAAAGCTGCATGGGCTTCAGCCCAGGTTCCTGGCCCTCAGAGGCCCCTCGAGCTGACTCCTACCCATCCGAAGAGCTGGGGGGTCCTGCCACCCCTGTCTGGTCCTTCTTGGCTTGAAGTTGGGGGTGATCGATGTGGGAAGGCAGATCCTGAGGGGTGGGGCTGGGGGGCGACAGAGAAGGTGGGGCGGGGCCCGGGTGGGGAGGAGAGGGCCAGGTGGGCGTTGACCAGTGGGGGCCCGAGTAGGGAGGGCGGGCAGCTGTGTGCCCTCACCGTGGAGCTGCACCATGGTGCTGAGCGCTCCCTCCAGCTCCTTGTAGATATAGACCGCGGCGAAGGAGCTATATGGTCTGTGTCCACGATGCGCACATCCAGGTAGCCCAGGGCTGCAGAGGAGGGGGCCAGCCAGCCATGGAGAAGTGTCCAGGGCCCAGACACTGACCCCACCCACACTTGTCCTCTGCTTCGGGGCTCAAGGGAAGGGCAAAAGGTGGAGGGAAGGAGGGGAGGGGCAGGAGATGGTGATGGGGGTGGTCCCAGGTAGAAGGACAGTCCATGTCATCCCATGGAGAAACTGTGTCAGGGGTCCCGGCAAGTAAAGCAGGACCTACCTGGGACTCTGAAGTGGCCCTCAGAGCCCACCCTCAGGTACTCAGCATCCACCTGGTGACAGCCATCAGCCCTGGGGGTGCACGGCCCGGGGCTCACTCTCAGCTGCTGGTCCAGCCTACCCCCACCCCCAGCCCACCACACTCACCGAGGGAACTCCATGTGGACACTGAGGTTGCCCCCCGCCATGGCCTTGATGGCCCTGGTGGACATCAGCAGGTGGTCCTTCTTGCCCAGGAAGACCTTGCAGTTGGAGACCATGGAGGCCACGTACCAGAGGCCTGAGAACTGCAAAGCAGCTCAGTGGCTGGCTTTGCCCTGGGACCAGGGCCACAAAGCCACATGGCCACACAGGCTTGTCTGGAACCACACGGCCGGGGGTTTCTGTGCCCATCTCTTGCCCTGAGCCCCTGTTCTGCGACCTACCTGGGTGGGTTGCATGACCTCGGTTCCCCCAACCGTAAAATGGGTTAGTAATTACCCCCACAAAGTTGTTTCAGGATTAAATGGAGAGAGGGTCCAAGGGTCCGAGGACAGCGCACTGTTACCCCATGGTGCTAGCATTTCCCGTGGGGCTCAGGCCCCACGCCCACCTGCAACACAGCACAGGGGCCTCTGTTACCTTCTTAGCATCAGAATCGGGCTGCACCAGGACCTCAGCCCAAGCCAGGGACACACCCAGAGCAGCACCAGGACCTGGCCCAGCAGGACACACTTCATCGCCATGCCTGCTCTCCAGCCCCTGGCACCTGAATCCGAAGCCCAGGAGGCCAGCCTTTATAGCCCAGCCCGGCCGCTGGGCTCCACCAAGGAGCAGTCGGGCAGCAGAAGGCACTTGGCTCTGGAAACTCAGCCCTCTTTGTCCGTTGTCCCGCACAATCACCCAAGGTCCCCCACCAGCCCCAGGGGTCATTTCCTGGAGGGCTCCAGAGAGGCGGGCTCTCACCTCTCACCTCTCCCGATCCAGACCTGCCAGCCAGTCCCCAAGGACCAAGCAGAGACCTCATCTTGGCCTCCATCCACCTCCAGACTGCTGGGGCTGGGGGCCCAGGGCGCTTGGGGGTGCTATAGCCAGCAGGCCCCTACTCAGGGTCTGGGCCCCCAAAGCCTCACTCACTCCCCCCTGACAGGAGTGGAGTCACCACTGGCCAGCCCAGCCATGACAGAGGGGACATCAGAGGCCGGGGTGCCCCTCACTCTGGACCCCACCACCCCCTCCACAGCCACCAACTGAGCCTCCAGCGGGCCCGTCTGGAGGGCGGAGCTGAGCCGCCACTTAGGGTGGATTTTGGCATCACAACCACCTTATCAGCAATTGCATAAGTGTGCAGCCCTGAGTGTCGCCAGGGAGGCGCCACGGGCTGGTGGGGGTCACTGGCAAGGCCTCCCAAGTGACCTCTCATGTGCATGCAGACAGAGCAAGAGAGACTCCCCTGGAGGACCTCCTGGTGGCCTCTGATCCGGGGCGGGCATCCCAGGGAAGGCGTGCACTGTTGAGTGCTCCAGATTGGAAGGGCCTACAGGGCCAGAGAAAGACCCACGTCCCCCAGCAGGGAAGGAGGGGAGAAGCAGAGGGCTTCTGAGTGCCTCCTGCTCTGGGTTTCAGGGGATCCCAGCTCTGGCCAGGTCCCAGAGTCACTGGGACTTGAAAATATTTACAGAACACGCATCTGATAAAGGACTTAAATCCTGAATCTATAAAGAACTCTCAAGATGCAATGATAAGAAAAACAAGCAACCCAAGTTAAAAAAAAAAAACAAAAACAGGCAACAGATTGAAAAGCCACTTCACCCAAGACGACGTCCAGATGGAAAATAAACACGTGAACATGTGTCCGTGAGTCAGGGGACACGTAAGGCGAAGCCGCTTTGAGACACACCGCAGCTCTGGGAGCGGCCAGTCGCCATCCAGCAAGGACTCGCTGCCGGGTTGCCAGCGTGTGGCCGATTCTCAGAAAGGGACACACTCATTTCCTGGACAATATGACGATTGCACACCTCGGTGTTTACACGACAGAAATGAAAACTTTGGCGAACCTTGCGAGTGGGTGTTGGGAGGGCTCTATGCACCACCACCAAAAAGCAGAAGCCACCAAGTGTCTCCCGTGGCTACCAGGATGACGGGCCCTCCGTGGCAGGAGGGCGTGGAAAGAACAAACCATCCACTCAGGTAACACGCTTAGACAAATGCCGGATGCATTCCTGAGTGAGAGAGGGCTTTTCAGGAAGACTGCAGATGGGGATTCCTTTCTAGAACCTTCCAGAATAGGCCAGTCCCCAGGAACAGGAAACTGCCTGGCGGTGGCAGGGCCTGCATCTGTCTATAAACTCGCAGAGCTGACAGCAAAAAGTGAGTTCTGCTGTGTGCAAATTAGACCTCGCTGTTTAAAACGCATATGTACAAGCTCCAAATACCTATGAAATCTTCCCCCAAACGCACCTCTTGGGTTGGGGACAGGAAGGCCAAAGGAGTGCCGAGTCCTCCCCACCCCACTCCAAGGCCAGAGCTCCAAGGAAAAGTGTGGGGGCAGGACAGACGCCCACACCAACCACAGGACCAAGGCTCAGCAAGGAGCAAGGGACAGACAACAACCTGCAGACCCCCCCGAGGAGCCTCCCAGGTGCAGGGCAACCCCTCAACCCACGGAAGACACCCCCGCCACCAGCCCGTCCCTGACCGTCTTCAATGCAGCCCGGCCACCCGTTGGCTCCCTCTGTCCTCGGCCACACAGTGGGCATAAATCTGATGCACCCCTGCTTAAAATTCCCCGGAGTCATCACAGCACGGAGGATAAAACCCAACCCCCTGGCCCTGTGCCCTTCCGACACCAGTCCGGAGCCTGCTGGTCCCTGGGCAGCTTGTGGCCTCTGCCTCCTCCAAGCAGCCGTCCGCAAACCCCGGCCTATACCCCACCCCCGTCTCTTTCCTCCAGGCTTTGAGCTTAATCCGCATTTTCTCCTGGGTTTATTTATTGTCTCTGCTCCACACACTATGAATTCGGGGACAACAGGAGCTGTAACGTGGCCTGTTGGCTTCTGACTCCCCAGCTCCGGCTGCAGAAGGTGCTCCGTTCATAGCTGTGGATAAATGAGGGAGGAAAGCCGCTTTGGCCTGCAGGTCCCCTAAAGCCCGGGGCCTCTGTACCATGCTACCACGTCTGCGGCCCAGGGCTTGTGTGGGTGGCATTGCCTGCCTTGTCCATGGCTGCAGCAGGCACTCGGGCCCGGAGCCTTGTCTGGCTTCCCTGCCTCACCCCCTCCCAGCATCATGCTGTGAAGGCCAAGGGGCACAGGTGTGGGGGGCTGCCACCTTGCCCAGCAGCCCCCGTGGCCTGCCCTGGGGCCTGAGCCTCGAGGAGGAGGGCTAGGACTCAGGGGCTGGTTGGAGCTGGTGCCCCAGCAGGGCTCAGACCCAACACTTCCCCCTGGAGGTTCTTGTTCTGTTCCTGTTCGCCAGACCCCCAGAGCTGCCCCCGTTCCCACTCTCTTGGTTCTCCAGCTTCCTGCAAATCCAGGAGCCCTAGTATCCTTCCAGCAAACTCTCACCGGTTTAGGTTGGTCAGAGCTGCTGACCATCTCCCCCAGGCCCAGTCTCTGGTCAGGTTCCTGCCTCCAGGGAGCTTCCTAACCCCAGACCCCTGTCCTCGGGGGAGGAGAAAGAATCTCCAGGTCTTCCGAGCCTCCACCCTGCTGACCACGGAGGGACCTCAAACTGCATGGATGATGTCAAGGGCCCCCTAGCCCCCTGCCCAGTTGGGCTCCGCCCCAGGGGGGGCCCAGCAGGAGCTGGGAGGGGGATCAAGGTTACTTTGTGCTGGCCAGGTCCCCCCTATAGTCCCTGGGGAGCCTCACCTACACAGTCACCCCTCTACATGCTAGAACAGGTCCTCCTCCCGACCCTCTGACCTGGGGTGCTCAGCTCTGCTGCTCTAAGCTCTAGGTTCCTGCCCCGGCCCTCAGGGTCCCCCGCATCCCACCCATGTCTGGGTAGCTGCTCTGCAAACACACTGTCCACTTTCTCCTAATTTGCATGTGCCCTCTGTGCCCTCCAGGAAATGGGCCAGGGCTGGGCACCTCTGCAGTGGGCTTCATGGGGGCTCCTGCCCCTCAGTTAGCATCAGCACCCTGACCACGGGCTGCAGGCACGGCGACCCTACCCCAGCTCCAGTGTGAAGGGCGGCCAGGACATGGGGTCCTGGGGTCGTGTGTCATGCGCCTAATGGCCGGCCTGAGAGCGCGCAGTCATGTGGGCACTTGCAGGGCTCAGGTGGTGGCCTCTAGGACCAAGGACCACACTTCCTGCCTCCAGTTGGCCTCTGGATGACTGGCAGCTGCCCTGCTTCAGGCTTTGGGGTTCTCCCGTGTGCTGGGCCTCCAGTTTTGTTGGGGCAGCCACACTAAGAGTAAGGAAGAGGAAGGAGGAAGAAGAGGGAGGTGGGGCAGGGGAGGGGAGGGCTGGAGGGAGGGGGAAGGAAGAGGGGAGGGGGGAGAGATGGGGGGAGTGAGAGAGGGGAGGGGGGAGGGGGGCAGGCAGGGAAGGAGGGGTTGGGAGGGGTGGGGGAGGGAAGGAAGGGGATGGTGTCCTCAGTCCTCAGCGCTTACCTGGGCCAGCAGGGCAGCCATGCATCCAACTGCCTGTGATGTGACTCTGATCTCAGAAGGGCCCGGGGCGGGGCGGTGGGGGGGGGTGCGGCAGGGAGGGGCGCTGTGTGTTGGAGAAGGGCGCTGGCACGCAGATTGGCCCAGATGGCCGAGGGGGAGGAAGTGGGGTGTCTGCACTTGCCGTGGGTCCCCTTCTCATGGAGAAAGACTGAGCTGTGAGGAATGGGTGCCCGCTCTCCAGGACAGGGCACAGCCAGGCAGGAGCGGGCTGACCCCAACTCATTAGCGAGCAGGCCGCTGTGGGGGACCCAGACCTGGCACCGGGGAGCAGCATGCATGGAGAAATGGGGTGGCCTGCTCTCCAGACCCTCGTGTCTCTCCTCTGCCTCTTCCCTCCTGGGCCCTGTCCAGGTAAGAGGGCTGGCTCAGATGCGTCAGGTCATGCACACGCACACCCTCTAGGCGTGCAGGAGGCAGGTGGTGGGAAAAGCAGAAGCAGCTCATCCTGGCAAATGGAGCGTGGACAGCACAGGATGGCCTCCTTGGGGTGCTGGGGAAGGACACTGGCCCGCAGCCCACTCTCCCCTGTGGTGTGCAGAAATGAAGACAGTGGGCCTGGGGGCTCAGGACAAGGCGACATCCTCCAAGTTTGCCCTGGCTCTCCTGGCCTTCGGGGGAGCCAGATCACGCAGCGTCAGTGACAGGAGGAATCATCAGCCCCAGGCCCCACCAGGGAAAGATGTGCACTGTCCCTCCTACAAGAAATCAACCCCCTGCAGGTCATCACCCGGAACGCTTGCTTTTCTCCAACAGGCTTGGATTCAGAACAACCCCCCCACTTCCTTCTTCTCCGTAATGTTTCTTCCCTTCGTTTGTTGGACTCGTCCGTGGTTTTGCTGTAGCTTGCATGTCCCGAATTGCAATTCTCTGCTATTCCCCAATAAACTCATAGTTCCTGGTAAAATAACTTTTATTTTTATTTTTTTAAAGATTTTATTTATTTATTTGACAGAGAGAGTGAGAGAGCACAAGCACAGGGAACAGTAGAGGGAGTGTGAGAATCGGGCTTCCCGCCGAGCAGGGAGGCCGACGCCGGGCTCGATCCCCATGACCTGAGCTGAAGGCAGACGCTTAACCATCTGAGCCACCCAGGCGCCCCAATAACTTTTATTTTTAAGGTCGATATCCTTTAGTGTAGGGCCAGAGCCTCAAAGGAGGGGTCTGGCCCCACCCAGAATGCCTAGCCTTGGCCATTGGACAGGGGCTGCCCCCCACTCAGGAAAACTGCCCAGGCCTGGCCTCATCCCCAGGCCCGGAGGTAGCTGTGCCTCTCCCCTGTGGCTGGGGCATCCAGGTGAGCTAGAACCTCCCACAGGTCACACGACACAGTAGCCCATGGGATCTGTCTCTGAAGCCATGTCCACTCCGAGGCCCGTGCACCACCTAGGACGTCAGTGTTCTGACCAGCGACCTAAACTGATGCCCTCTCCCCCCCAGGAGACCTGGCCAGGCCCCAGGCTCATCCCCTTCCACTTCAGAGGCCACCTGAGTCCCGTATCCCAGGCTCTCCACCATCACGCAGACCCTCGGCCTTCCCCACCCTCTCTCAGGCCCCCTGCCCCGCCTCGCCTCGCCCCTCCTGCCTGCTCGTCCCCGCCCCTCTGCCCCTCCTGCGCAGGCCCCGCCCCCTGCTCGCACCCGCCCCTCCTGCGCAGGCCCCGCCCCCTGCTCGCACCCGCCCCTCCGCACGTCCTGCGCAGGCTCCGCTCCCTGCTCGCCCCCGCCCCTCCTGCGCAGGCCCCGCCCCCTGCTCGCCCTCGCCCCTCCTGCGCAGGCTCCGCTCCCTGTTCGCCCCCGCCCCTCCGCACGTCCTGCGCAGGCTCCGCTCCCTGTCGCACCGGGTGACCTGCTAGCCATGGTCAACCTGGGTCTGTCCCGGGTGGACGACACCGTGGCCGCCAAGCACCCGGTGAGAAGGCTGGCCTGGGACGCGGGCCCCGGACCTCAGAAGCTGACCTGAGCGGGGCGGCTGCGGGCTCGGAGGGGGGTTACCCTTCTCAGGGAAGAGGGACCGAGAGAGGGGGGACCCTCCTGTTACGGGGATCGGTGCAACCTGGGTGGACATGGAGGCAGGTGCGATGTGTCCAAGCCCCCAGGGCCTCCCGATGAGTGGTCCCCTTCCTTACGGCCAGTGTGTGCCCGAAGGAGGGACAGGAGGGCCTGGGAAAGAAGCGGGAGGGGAACTGAGCCTTCACTCCTACCCCATCCCAGGGACTGGGGGAGTACGCCGCGTGCCAGTCGAAGGCCTTCGTGAAGGGCATCTTCACCTTTGTCACAGGTAGGCTGGGTCCAGAAGTCCTGGGGTCTGGAGAGACCTCACCCTCCTGTCTCACCCTGAGTCCCCAGCAGGTGGCGTCGGGCCGCTGTTCTCAGATGCTGGGAGCCTCACCGGGGCTGCGGGCGCTCAGAGGGCGCCCAGGTGGGTCCCCCGCCAGCCTCGTGGACAGGCTGGCTGATGGGGACCTTGGCTCTTGGCAGGCACCGGTGCAACCTTCGGCCTGCAGATGTTCATTCGGAGGAAGTTTCCGTACCCCTTCCAGTGGAGCGTGCTGGTGGCCGTGGGTGGGTACCCAGGGCCTGTACCTACGGCCTTAACATGCACCTGAGTTGCCAGAGGTGATGCTGGCTCTTCAGCAGGGGCGGGTTCCCGCTAGGGGTGGGGAAGCTGTGGTCCCAGCATCCCTACCTCCTGGGATGGGGTCCTAGTTCTCGGTGGGAGTCCTGCCAAGCCCACCACCACCATCTGCCCAGAAGAAGCCTGGGCCCAGGCCCCCTTTCCCTGAGAAGTGCAGAGGCCCAGGCCCACAGCCCACTGGCCCCTGCACCCCACTCCCCAGTCACAGGCTCAGTGGCCAGCTACTGGGTGACCCGAGTGGAGTCACACAGATGCAGCAACCTTTGGCTCTTCCTGGAGACGGGGCAGCTCCCCAAAGACAGGGGCACAGGTGAGAGTCCGGGGGCAGCGGGAAGCAGGGTCTGAGGCTCCAGGGCCAGAGGTTTAGGCAGGGAAGCCCAGGGCTCAAGGTGTAGGCTGGACAGGGCCTCTCCCCTGTGGCCTGTCCATCCTGGAGGGGCGGGAGTGGGTGGCATGCAACAGCCAGACCTTCCTGAGCCCCATGTGCAGGAGGGGTTGGGTGGCCCTGGGATGGGGGGGTGCAGAATCAGGAGTGTGGACCCCCCAAGAAGAGTGGCCAGACACCAAGCTGACTCACATCAGGCCTGCGTCCTTCTTAGTAGAGGCCTGGTGAGCAGCTTAGGCTGTGATTCCACTGTCTCCCTCTGCCTCCTACAGATCAGCTAGGAGAGCTCCAGCGGGGCGCAGAAGACCTGGGGCCGGAAACTTCTAGAACATAGCCCTCAGGGCCTCCTCACCTCAGCCTCACCCCCCCACACACACACCCTAAGGTGACCCAATGGTGTCCCCTGCACACATGCATGGCCAGGTCTGCCAACCTTGTGCAAACCTTTCTCCTGCCCAGGTCAGGCCAGAGGGGCTGTCTCTGCAGTGGTTGGTCTCCCAGAGGACAGTGAGAAACATGGTGGACACTAAGAGCTGGAAAGGATCAGAGAGGCCCTGGGCACTTGGTGGAAGGGACTTCTGCATGCCCTGGTGCTCTGACACTCCCTGTCTGGCCCTGGCGTCCCCCACAGTCAGAGGGGACAGCTGCTGCTGGGGTTGCTGGATAAATAAATGCCTTGCGTTTTCCCAACTGAGTTTGAAAACAACTGGGAAGCACATCAAAGCAGTAAGAAGATGAGAGACAAATGTCACCTTAGCACCATACACTGACACTGGGGCACCTGCTGGGGCAGCTCCTAACACAGCCCCAGAATCAGACGGTTCCACAGGCCTTCCCACATGGGGTCTGCTTCCACACATCTAGCCACGGGGGAGCAAAGCCGAAGGTGTGCAGCCAGTTAGCACCTGGCCCCCAAGAGACAAGGCACAGGAAGTGGCCATGCCTACCCGCCTACCATTCCAAACACACCTATCAGGTTAAGTCACTTCACACCAAGGAAGGAGGAGGTGAGGGTCGGTGGAGGGAGGCCAGAGCTAGTTTACTGGAGTTCTGTCCACAGGACTACACGCCCCAACTACCCGACCGAGGGAGAAGCAGGGATATGTTACATAACAGCTGGGTAAATCCATCATCCTGTACAGCTGCCCTCCCAGTCACACCGAAGGTACACAACACAGGGCCACGCTGCTCCAGCCCCAGCTAAACTCCTGCACCTCTTGGCCTAGCCAGTCATTCAGAAGAATATTGAGCACCTACTGTGCACCAGGGAATCGGTTAGTGGGAAGGCAAAATGACAGGAAGCCCAAGATAACCATGGCATGAGCGAGCTGGGGTTGGGGTTTACTTTCATGTAATAGTCCAAGTGGGTGATCCGGGGCTGATAGGTGGTCAAGGACCCAGGCTCCATTCATTCTGCCCCTGTCGTCATGGCCTCTATTCCTGATGCACCTCATGGTTCCACGCAGCCGTGCCAGCTCCAGCCATCGCGTCTTCATCCCAGTCACTAGGGAGGAAGACAGTTCACTCACCACTTGTGCTTACATTCCACTGGCCAAAACTAAGTCATGTGGTACACCCAGTGCCAAGGTGCCTAGGAAGACAGCCTTGTTCAGGGCAGCCGCGTGGCCCGCTAAAATTCAAGGGTTGTATATCTGAGGAAGAAGGGAGCACCCATACTGAGGGACAGTGAGCAGGCTTTGCCTGAGGCCCAGGGAGAACAGGGGAGGACCATGCCTGTGACTGGTCCTGCCAAACCCCTGAGGTCTCAGAGCGACGGCAGAAGGTGAACTTGGAGTTTTAAATGGGATTAGACTCACTTTTTAAAAAACTGGCAATGACCAGGAAAGCTAAAAGGTCTGTGTGAGGTCTTAGGCAGCATATGGGTGACAGCCATGGTTACGAACTGTGTGTCCCCAAATTTACATGTCACAGCCCTAACACCCAGGACCTTAGCATATGACTGTATTTGGAGACAAGGCCTTGAAAGAAATGATGACATGAAAATGAGAGGCAGCCCTGATCCAGTCTGGCCCGTGTCCTTCTGAGAGGAGGAGAACACAGACACGCACAGAGGGACGACCTTGCGGGGACACAGCAAGAAGACAGCCGTCTCCTAGCTCAGGAGGAGCCAGCCCTGCCTGGCTGATGGGGACCTTGGCTCTTGGCAGGCACCAGTGCAACTTACGGGGCAGGGCGAGGTGGGGCAGGGGGCCTGAGGGAGGGTGGGGAAGGCCGAGGGTCTGCGTGATGGTGGAGAGCCTGGGATATGGGACTCAGGTGGCCTCTGAAGTGGAAGGGGATGAGCCTGGGGCCTGGCCAGGTCTCCTGGGGGAGAGAGGGCATCAGTTTAGGTCGCTGGTCAGAACACTGACGTCCTAGGTGGTGCACGGGCCTCGGAGTGGACATGGCTTCAGAGACAGATCCCATGGGCTACTGTGTCGTGTGACCTGTGGGAGGTTCTAGCTCACCTGGATGCCCCAGCCACAGGGGAGAGGCACAGCTACCTCCAGGCCTGGGGATGAGGCCAGGCCTGGGCAGTTTTCCTGAGTGGGGGGCAGCCCCTGTCCAATGGCTGCACCTCGATCTTAGACTCCCACCCTCCAGGATACGAGACGATAAATTCCCACTGTTCCAGCCACGTGGGATGTGGCAGGCACTCTGTTATGGCAGCCCCAGCCAATTCAGGCAGCGTGGCCAGAAACAGTAACCTAGCTGGTATGCACCCTGGGATCCCAGGCTGTCGGGTTGGGGCACACAACTCCAAGGGCAGCGTGGGCTGGGGATGACCCCGCCTGGAGTAAGTGACACCTAAAACTAGACCCAGGAACTCCCCCAGGGAAGTGGAGGCGGAGCAGGACGGCTCCAGGCAGCAGGCGAAGGGCAGGGAGAGACGGGGCCTCACAAGCCAGGTCGCCCAGGGTGCAGAGTCTGCGCTTGGGGTGGGGTGAGGGAATGGAGATCCCATAAGGCAGAGATTGGAAGTTTTAGGAGGCTCAGTGGAAGACAGCCTGGGGGTGTGGAGGGGATGGGGAGGGTACAGGGGGCTGGTGTGGGGTACACTGTCAAACCACCCCAAATCACTGTGGCCCTGTGGAAGGCGCCTCCACCCTGGCAGTGCTCCTGAGCACAGAGCAGCCTAAGACTCATGCATCCAGGGGACAACCCCAAGGCTGACTGGGGGCAGGGGGTGGGGGCAGGGCGGCCCAGGATCTCCAGGGTTCCCTCAACTGGACATCAAGAACCTCGGCCCTCATCACAATGGGCCAAGATTCCGGGGACAATCTGAAGTGCATGCAGTTCTGCTGAGCAGGCCCAGCACAGGGAGGGCGGGAATGCAGAGGGTCCCTGGAGGACCCTGAGGGCTACCATGAAGATGCGCAGTGAGGCAGATGTGGACGAGCAGATCCAGGAGCTGAAGACAATCACTCGGCTCCAAGGTGAGCCCACCCCCGGGTTCCAGCCTGCCTGGCCACTTTCTGGGCTCAGGGGATTTCAGATTTAACCACAGGGCCAGTCCAGGGCAAACAAGGACTAGTGGCCACCCCCCTCAACAGATCTAAGAGAAGGGACCAAAGGGGAGGCCGTGCAGGGGGCTTCAGGGAGATTTGCGAGCACAGTGAGCCCCAAAGCCAGAGGGGACAGGCAAGGACCCACCTGCTTCCCTGGCCAGTGGGTCTGGAAGGGATCCCAGGATGTGCCCATCTCTGGCTGCCACCTCACCCTTCCCACTGCCCAGCAGAGCCATCCACACAGGCACTGTTGAGCACTGAAGCCAGTGAGCCTTAGGAGGTGGGAGGAAGGACCATGGCTGTGGAGGCAGCATTCTCGTGCCCACCCCACCCTGGGCCTCCCTGGTGTGGAGCCTCCCCAGTTCAGGAATCCCGCCAGCCCTTGGCCCACATCCTGGCCTCCTGGCCCCCTCTGCCCCTCCGCTCCCCACCCCCACCGCAGAGCAATGTCGGGCACTGCAAATCCAAGCGGTAAAGGAGAAGCGTGCCAAGAACAAAACCCTGCTGGCTCTCCTGCGCAGCAACATCCGACGCGGAGCCCAAGATTGGGTTTTGGCCAACAAGGTGAGCAGTCCTGCCCCCTCCCTGCTGACCCCTGGCTGGGGATGGCGGGGGGGGGGGCATGCACGTGCTGAAACAGTCCCACACACAGGTGGAAGGCAGGCACCTCCTCTTCTCCCCCCTCCCCCCGGAGCCAGGGGGCATCTTGGGGAGGGTCTTCCCAGGACCTATTCCCCTAGCTCCAGTCACTCGCGAAAGCCTGGCAGGCAGGGTGGGCCTGACTGGGGTCCTTTTCGGGGTTGCCCCCTACAGCACGGGCCCCTCCGGCTCTCTGGCCATGTAGGGGAGACTGGGTCCTCTCCAGACTCCCATCGCGTCTGAGCTGAGATGACCCGGATGGGGCCAGCACAGGGTGGAGGAGGCCGGGGGAGAATGCCTGGCGGGACTGGGGGCTGGGGGTACACAGAGAGACCAGGGCCCCAGCTCAGCCATCCGCCGCTCTGCAGGATGACCAGCGGACCATTTCCAAGGCTTGCGGGAAGGACGTGTCCATGAGGCTGGCGCACTGCCGCTCCTCCATGGAGGTGAGGTGGCAGGAGGGGGTCCCTCAGCCTCTCCCAGCCAGGGCACCCCCACCACCACCACCACCACTAAACGACGCTGCGGAACAGGTGGCGGGCAGGGTGAGGGCCAGATCCCCGGGGTCCCGCCCCTCCAGCCCAGCTGCGCTCGGGTCCGCTGCCCCCTGCACACCCACGCGCGGGCCGTGCCCCCCCCCCGACACAGGTGGCGCGGGAGAAGCTAAGAAAGTACGTCTTCGACCGCGTGAACGTGCACAACGTGCTGATTCACCTGGTGCGGCGGCGGGGTCAGAAGCTGGAGAGCATGCAGCTGGAGCTGGCCAGCTTGAGGAGCCAGCCCGACGCCACCAAGGAGGAGCTGCGCATGCTGCAGGTGGTGGGCGGGGCGGGGCTCGGCTTCGTGGGATGGGCGGGGCCTCTGGAATGGGCGGGGCTCCGTTGGGGCGGGGCTAGATGAAAGGCACACACTCTCTGTCCCTCCTTCCCTGGAAGAAAGCGCATCCTCCAGGGTCAGACTCCAGGCGGGCATTCCGATGGTCTGTCCCCAAGCACTGTGTGCCCTCGGGCCACCCCCAGGTCATCCGCCAGCTTGAGAACAACATTGAAAAGACCATGGTCAAGATCACCACAAGTCAGAACATCCACCTGCTGTACGTGGACCTGCTGGATTATCTGAAGAAAGTGAGCCCCCTCACCCCACACCCCAGCCCAGGGAAGCCATCTGGCCGTGAGCGCAGGAGTCTCAGGCCCCAGCCTAGGTGCAGTGCATCTCAGTGGGGACAGGAGCCTCCGGGGCAGGGCAACGCTCCCCGCCCCCCGCAGGGAAGGGGCTGCAACTCTCCCTCAGGCCACTGTGCCCCAAGGACAGACCTCTGCTTTGGGCCCCACTGAGCAGGGGCACCATGTACCTGTATGTGGAAACTTGTTAGTTGCTTCTTCAAAAAGGCATATTATGGGATATATCAGAATTGTTTGGGTTTTTTGCATGTATTTGATGGTTCAGTGTTTTTATTTTGCCCCATCCTTTCTCATTTGCCTGGCCTCTGAGGACAAAAGGTGGGTCCTGAGCCCACAGAAAGTGCCCTAACATCATAGAGGGCAAGTCACCTCTGAGCAGGCCGGTAACCCCGTGCTTGCTGCCCACCTCTTCCAAGCCGCCCACCCTGCCCCAGGAGATGAGGCCTGGAGGAGGACCCCGGTCCCGCTGGGAGGCAGGGTCTCTCCATGGGGAGGAGGACCAGAAGACAGGAGGGCTGCGGGGTGCTGCGAGGAGCATTGTGGCAGGCGGGGCAGGGAGAGTGAGGAAGTTCTCCTCATTCCCTCATCCTGAGGCTGGCACAGGGGGAGCCCCGGAGGGCAGGTGACAGGTGCAAGTGTGGTTTGGGAGGAGGGTGGCATGGGTAGGCATTGCAGCTCCTCCTGGCTGGAGTCACAGCCCCCCAGGTTCAGCCCATAGCCCACAGAGCCAGGCACCATGGTCCTCCTGCCTGTGCCTCCTGCCACAGCACCCTGTCCCTAGAGACCCAGACAGAAGCCCTGCCACCTTGCCTCCCTGGACCCGCCTCCTCACACCCCTTCCCCCTCCAGCTGTACTCCTGGGACCAGCCCCCCTTCATTTGGGAGTATTATGTCCCTCCAGGGGCATGCTCTTTTCAGAACGTACACATTTTTTTTCTTAATTAGGCTCCATGCCCATCATGGAGCCCAACACAGGGCTTGAACTCACGACCCTGAGATCAACACCTGAGCTGACATCAAGAGTGGGATGCTTAACCGACTGAGCCACCCAGGCGCCCCCAGAACATATGCATTTTTCAAAAATAACTCCCATGATCATCTATACTTTTTTTAAAAACTAGCAGAGATTCTACATTGTAGTTATTAACAGCAAAGTACTAAGAGTCAGATATATTGGATATTTATGAAGCTGGTTCTGAGCTTAATACCTCATTATACCTTCTGAGTAGATTCTGACAGCTGCCTTCTGAAAGAACCATTATCAACAGATGGGGACACTCAGAGAGGTTAAGTGGCTTTCCTAAGTTCCCACAGCCAGCTGGTCAGGGCAGCCTTGGCCTTGAGCCCTGAGTCTCTGACCCCACATCTGTGTTTTGAGCCTCCCTGGGTGGCGGTCACCTCTCACACAGTGGGACACTCCATCACTGTCCTCAGGGCTCGCACAGCCCAGGGTAAGGAGTTGAGGGCAGGGATGGTCCACTCTGGAAGGGCAGCATCTGGTTGGCCCATAGCCCCTGGGCCATCAGTTTCTGCTCTTGCCCCTTCTTTTTTTAAGATTTATTTATTTTAGGGAAAGAGCATTCATGGGGGGTGGGGGGGTGCAGAGGAAGAAGAGAGAGAATCTTAAGCAGGCTCCACGCCCAGCACGGAGCCCAACATGGGGCTCGATATCACGTCAGGACCCGAGCCAAAATCACAAGTCAGACGTTTACCCAAATGAGCCACCGGGCACCCCTGTTCTTGCCCCATTCAATGTAGGAGCTGGTAGGATACCCCACAGAGCTGGACAAGCTGCAGAATCTGGTGGGCGACTACTGCTCAGAACTGTCAGACATGACAGTCATGTCCCAGGACGCCATGTTGATTACAGATGAGGTCAAGGTGAGTTCAAGCCCCAGGGCTGGGGGTCCCGCAGGGCTCCCTCTCAGACCTGTCTGGTCCAGGGTCCATAGGAACACCCCAAACCCACACTGCCTGCAGTCACTAGCTACCCCACGAGCCTGCTCTGCTCACACATGATGGCCCTGGACACAGAGGGTCCCACCAGACACGGAAGCCTGGAGGGAGACACAGGAGGAAATGTGCCTGGCCCAGGCAGGGGCCATCCCTTCACCCAGTCTGTGCCTGCAAGTCAGGCATGTGTCATCCTCACGAGGGGGCAGTGTACGAAGCCATCCAGTAGTCCATGAAGAAATGTCACACATTCATTGGCCCGTGCTGCAGAGAGAGGAGTGGATGATGTGGGGCCCCCCTGGGGCACTTAGCTGCTCAGGGGGGCGATGCTTGAGTGGGGCTCTGGAGGTCGGAGGGGCCCGAACCCTGGAAGATGAAGGACAGCAAAGGTCCTGGGGCATAACCAGGCCAAAGGAGGTGCAAGTGGCTGGAGCAGAGATGCAGAGGAGCCTGTTAGCCAGTGGAGGAAGCAGGGTGGTTGGAGCTTAGATCCTGGCCCCCCACCCAACCTGAAGCTCTAGGAGGAGACATAGGGGCAGTGGGATCAGATCTGCATTTCAAAAACAGGCGTGCTCTGGCTGCAGAGACCCAAGGGAACCAGAGTCCAGACACTGGTCACCTGGGACGGACCAGTGGTAGCACTGGGTACCTAAACATCAATGGGGTCCAGAAGTCTCTAAAGGTCACCCAAAGGGGTCTAGCGCCGTGTCAGATGTGGACGGGGAGGGGGAGAGCAGCGTCCAGGAAGCATAGCCAGGCGCGGATGGATGATGGGTTTAGCCACCAAAACAGGACCCTGGGGAAGAGACCAGGTCTGGGGGAAGATGTCAGGTTCCTTTTTAGACACGTGGAATTGCTCCCCCTTGAGCAAGCCGAGGCAGCCGGGAGCCCAGGCTACAAAGAGACATGGGGTCCCCGAGCCCTGGCTGCAGCTGGGGCGGGCGACTCCAGCAGAGGAGGGGCAGAGGGGAAGGCGGCACCCCTCAGGGCACCCCTCAGAGGCCCAGCATGGGAGGAGGAGTCCAGAGAGGGGGGTGGAAGGCAGGAAGGGTGGTGAAAGCTGGCAGGCAGGCACAGTTTAGGAAGAAGGGTGCAGCCAAGAGCCTCCAATGCTATTCCCAAATCTAGAAGATGGGGACTGAAACTGAATGCTGGATTTAGCACCATGGGGGCCTCGGTGAGACATAACCGCGCCCCACCTCCCGTGTCCCCAGATGAACATGCGGCAAAGGGAGGCAACTTTCATCGAGGAACGCAGGGCTCGGGAGAACCGGCTCAATCAGCAGAAGAAGCTGATTGACAAGATCCACACGAAGGAAACCAGTGAGAAGTATCGCCGGGTAAGTCCCTGCGGGACCCCCACTGCTGCGCAAGGAACGTTGGGTGGCCCGCTCCCCAGCAGAGGGTGCTGCTCATTTCGTCCTCCCTTTCCTATCAGGGCCGGCGGGACTTGGACTTCCCCTCCAATCTGATGGGTACAGAAACTGTGAAAGGTGAGCACTCAGCTCTCTGCCACCCCCAGCCAGGGTCCTGGGAGGCCCGCACAGGCACAGGCCACCCAGTCAGGTCTCTGTGAGGCCAGGTGCAACCTGCAGTGGCCAGGGTGAGGGAGACACCTGCCCCTCCCTGGCTCTACCTGCAGAGGCTCAGTGCCAACAGCCACAGCCCACATCCTTGGGCTCACTGCCGAGTGTGGCCAAGCCCCCAGCTCCTCCGCTGTCCCCTGGCACCCCAGGGCTCGATCACCCAGTGATTCCTCAGAAGAGATAAGTCCGGGCCCCTGGACCCTTGGGCTGCCTCTGAGAAGCGCCCCAAAGGCCCCATGCCGGGCTGCTTCTGGATGGAGCTGCCCTGGGGCATCCTGGACAGGCCAGGTAAAAGTGCAGGTAGCTCTGATGGGTACCTGCCCGGCTCTCTGGTAGTCTCCCCTGATGCCTGGGCATGCACAGAAGTGTCTGGTGGCCTTGAGCAGAGCTCCCACGCCATTCCTGCATGCTGGCCACCCTTCCCCTCTGCTCTGCCCAGTGAGGAAAAGAGAGACCTCCAAGGCGGACATCGAGTACCAGACAGATGTGACTGCTTTGGTGGAGAAAGTGAAGACGGCTGTGCGGTGCTCCCACCTCTGGGTACTGCTCCCTGGCTCTCCTGGGGGTGGGGGAAGGCAGGGAGCCCCGGCCCCAGCCCAAGGCCCGGCTGAGCCTACTGAATGAAGGGACACAGAGCTGCAGCCCCCACGGCTGAAAGTAGAGAGCACTCTAGCATATCCAAGTCACATTCCAGGGGCTGCACGAGCCTGCTGGGATTCGAGGACCCAAGCGCTGACCTCCACCTACAACCCTGTCCCTTCCCAAACCCCTAGGACCACAATGAGAGGCCGCCTCTGCCTGGCCCTTCTGTTTAATCCGATCTGGGTTTATTATTAGTAAGCCTTAGCTCCCATTCTCGGCCCTGACATAAGCTTGTCCATCCTCGGACAAGTGGCTCAAAGCGAGGCAGTCTTTCAGGGGTGGTCCCCTCGTTTCTGCCTTGGGCTGTCTGCTTGTTGTGTGGGTCACATGCCCTGACTCACCTAAAGTGCTTCGCCCAGTGCCTGGCCACAGTCAGCATCACTCCTGACCATGGGGAGGGACCCAGAAGAAACCAGTTCTGCTTCTCCCCACACTGGCCCCACCAGGACATCGCTGGCCGGTTCCTGGCTCAGAGGAACACTGAGGAGAACCTGAAGCTGCAGATGGAGGACCGTGAGGAGCAGTGGGCGAAGCTGGAGGCTTTGATGAAGAAGCTGGAAATGGAGGAGGCAATGCTCAAGTTCCGCAAGACGCCCAGCTCCGTCAGGTACCCTCCAGGCCTCTGCCTTCCACGGGGGCCCCCCCGACTGGTCCCCATGAACAGCCGTGTGGGCTGGGGCCCAGCTCGAGCTGAGAGTGTCCACTGCCAACAAGCATGTGGGTACCTGGCAGGTGGGCTGGAGGGGCCTAGTCAAGGGGTGCCACATGCCCACACCTGAGCTATCTGAACTCTGGAGCCCCTGAATCTAGCACAGCACTCAGCTCAGGGCTCAGGCCGCCTTAGCCCGGAATCTGTGCCACCATCCTCCGCAACAGTTTCAAGTCCGTGGAGAAGAGAATGAACGACATGCTGAGAGAGGAGGAAGACAGACTGCAGCTGGCCTACTCCAGCATGACCAAGAGCCAGAAACTGCTGTTGACCGTCCAGACAGGCATTGACAACCTCTTCATCCGGCTGATTGGCATTGCCCTGCCCACAGCCCAGGTACCAGGTGCGGTGGGGGGGAGCCGCCTGCACAGAGTCCCTGGGAGAAGCCAGAGGAGAGACGGGACCCTTCTCCCGGCCTTCAGAAAGAAGTGGCGCTCTCTGACAGCCTCGACGTGTTCAGCAAGCTGGCGTACTGCGAAGCAAAGCTCCTGTACCTGGCTGACAGAGTGCAGATGCTGTCCAGCACCGAGGAGGTAGCTGGAGGCTGGGTGTGCCTACGCGTCCCACGTTCCCCTGGAGCTGACAGTCCCCTGTGCCCTGCAGGTGGACACAAAGGTGAGGGATGCCCTGGAGACCTCGACTCTGAAGGAGAAGCAGAACACCAGGATCAGCCTTGAGGACCGGGAGGAGGATATGATAGGTACAGGATCGGGGCTGGGGGCCAGGCCACACAGCCACAGGGAGGGGAGGAGTGGCGGATGGCTCCGTCTGCCCGGGACAGCCTGGAGGCACAGGGGGCACTACAGGGACAGAGAGAGTGTATCCCCTGTTCCCATGGGATTTCAATTCAGGGAAGTGACCTAGAGGACACGGAAAGGCTGATGCCATCGGAGGGAGAATCTGTTACATTTCCTGACATATGGGAGCATCACCGCCTTCGAGGATGAGACAGGAGCGAGGGAATGGCCTAGACCTTTGTTGGGGTTTCTGCAGGAAAGGGGGGGTGGGGGACAGGGCAAACAGCTTCAGATGGGCTTTTTGAACAATTCTGGTGGGCTTGGGGTGTAGGGCTGTTCCCAGTTGCCTGGTGCCTGGCCCTGGGTTGATTTAGGCGGGGGAATATTGGCTTGGTGTGAGGGTTTGATAAAGCAGGGGGTCGCGGGTGTGGGCTCTGGACGGGTTGGTGTGCAAGAGAGACGGCTCGCAGCGGCCAGCCTTCTGCCCTCTCTAAGAACTGGCCAGCCCTGCGAGTGGCAGCCTCCCCCCGAGCGTGTAAGACCCCAAATGCCAGGGCACCAGGAATAGAGAAAATAAGAGTAAGTAGCTAGTACCTGGCCCTGGGACGAATGCAGGCCAACAGAGCAGAGTGGAAGCAAGCTCGCTGGAGCAGAGGGGCTGCAGCGCGCGGCTCCCCTCCTCCTCGCCCTCCTTTCTAGAAACCTTCCAGTTCGCAGACGTGGACCACAGCTACGTCCCCTCGCGGGCCGAGATCAAGCGGCAGGCCCAGCGGCTGATCGAGGGGAGGCTCAAGGTGGCCAAGAAGAAGAGAAAGTAACCCCGAGGAGGAGCCCCTGCCCCGCGCCGCGGCCGCGCTTTGTTAAACAAATAAACATTTTTCCAGGACTGCTGGGGCACCGGGGGGGACACAGGAGTCTCAGACACGAGCCCGGGGGGCCGCGGCAGTGGGGGGACCACGTGGGGGAGTCGGCGGGAAGGTGGGATACTGGGTGTGGGTCCGGGGTTGAGGGGTGGGTGGCGGGGTGGGCCCAGCGAGGAAGCGGAGGTGTCAGGCCCGCCCCGAGAGCCTCGGGACAGCCCCAGGCCCGGCGGCTGATGTGGCCCCGCGCCCGGGCGCCCGGCTCCGCCCGCGCCCTCCTGCGCATGCGCACGCCTCGGCGCCGCCGCCCGGCCAGGGCCCTCGCGGTGCCGCTAGGCGCCGAGTCCGAGTCCGCGTCCACGCGCGCCCGCCGCGCATGCGCGCACCCCCTTGGCCCTCGCGGCGGCCCGTAGCCGTGCGCCTCGTCGAGCCGGCGCCAAGATGGCGGCTCTGACAGGCGGAGGGCGGCCGCGCCGGGGGCCGCGCGGGCCGGAGCGGAGCCGCCGCGGCTGAGCCCCTGGGCCGCCCTCGAGGCAGGCACCCGGCCGCCGGGACCCAGGACATGGTGCGACCCGCGCCGGGCCGCCGCCGTCGCCGCCGCCGCTGAGCTCGCGGGCCGCGCCGGGCTCGACCGTGGGAGCGGGAGGATGCTTTCCGCGCTCAAGAAGCTGGTGGGGTCGGAGCAGGCTCCGGGCCGCGACAAGAATATCCCCGCCGGGCTGCAGTCCATGAACCAGGCGCTGCAGAGGCGCTTCGCCAAAGGGGTGCAGTACAACAGTGAGTGCAGGCCGGGCGCTCAGGGCCCTCCGGGGGGACGTGGGAAGTGGGGTCCGCGGGCGCGGGCCGCGGCGACCGGGACTTGGCAGAGAGCAGGTCGCGGCCCGGGCCCGGAAGCACTGGCGCCCCGTCGCGCCCCCAGGGCCTTGCGGTTTGCGGGTGCATGTGGCAGGGCCTGTTCCTCTCTGTTGAGGATGTGCTGAGCCCCTACCTGTGGCAGGTACTCTGGGGGCGTTCACTTGGGGTCGGGAGTTGATGCTGGGCCGGAGTCGAGGTCCTGGAGGACCCCACGGCCGGAGGGTGGGCGACTCGGCCCATGGCGTTCCCCGCTGTCCGACGGGTCATTCGCGAGGAATACTGGCACGTGTAGAGATCTGCGCGCTTAGTTTGCACGGAAAATTAGCCCGGGCGTTTCCTGGTGCGTCCTGCGGCGCCCTGGGCGGCCCGGATAACCGCGTCTGAGAGTGGTTCTTACATAACGTGGGGATCGCTCCGTGGTCCGTGACGCCTGGGGGTGGTGGGGCTGCCCGTCAACGAGCCACGTGACTGCCCGCCCCGGAGGTCCCGCTGGCCCTGGTGCTCTGAGCCTTGGGATTTTTCTTTATAGACTTTTATTCAGTTCGAAGGGAATATCATCTACGCCACATATTCCTGCCCCACCCACTCCTTTTTTTAAGAAGCATTTGTAAGGGATATATTTGGAAAAAGCTCCAGAAGGCACAAAGACTCTTACTTATTGTAGGAGACTCCTTTTCCCCTGAGGGAAGGAGGAGTTATTTTCAGATGCCCCGAGAGCCCAGGACGTTTCCAGGCCTGTTATAAATTATGTAAATTGTATAGTTCCTGAACACGAACCGTTCTCTTGACCTCTTTTAAGTTTTTCCATCTCGCTGTCCCTTTCCTAGCATTATTTAAAAGCTTTTTATGTTGTTTTCTGCTTTTAAATTGTTCCTTTTCAAGTATTTTCATTTGTTGCTACAAGATTCTGGACTTCTCCCTACCCCTCCCTTTGCTACTTTAAGGGGAGCTTTCTGGTCTCTATGGTGACCTATTTAGACAGTAATGCACAATACTAAGAAACTTGATTGGAAAGATCTCTGTGCAGGTTTAAAAGAGAGCTCGTTTTAGTTGTATTCAAGTCACAATTTTGTATCTGTTTCTCTCACATTCAGAGAAGAGAATGTTAAGTCAAAATACTCATTTGCACAAACCTATAGGATCTACATTTGGATTCCCTCATTTGCTTTTATTACTTATGGTATTATTTTAAACTTAATCCTAGTCTTGTGGAAATCAGAGCTGGAAGCTGTAAATTTTTCACCTTCTGAAAAGAAATTCCTGAGAGGCACATTGCCTAGCCTTGGGTGGTTAAAGAAGGGGGGGGGGTGGCTCAGTAGAATTGTTCCAGAGAAATAAACCCACCCTCAGGTAGTTGGGGGACAAGTTATGATTCCCTAGGACTGCAGGAAAGGGGGTGAGATGGAGAGAAATTGCATTTAGAGGGACTTTGTCTCTGTAGTTGAACAATATGCAACTTTGAAACTTTCTGATTTCCTTTATTTTCCAAAATATCTTACATAGGGGAAACGAGCCAGCAATCTGATGACTATACACTCAGAATTTTTAATGGCAAGAGTTGATGATGTCCAAGTGTAGATGTTGTTTCTTACAGAACCTTGTCCTCTTGGGGCAGACAAGTCATTTCCTTTTAAGTTGCTCTGATAATGAGAAGTGGCTCAGGTCACATGCAAGAGCCCCAGTATACACATCAAATTTAGAATCAAAACCTGAATGAGACATTGGACCATAATTATAGTTTGAAAGTTATTTGCATTCAAAGTGGAAGAAAGAATGTTACTGGACTTGGTCTGTCCTTCCTACCATCACTGGACTCAATTTCTTAGCCCTGTTTGCTGAAGAAGCTTTCCCCACAGCTTTCCAGGTGGGGAAACACCAGTCCTAATGGAACTTGTCAGGAGTGCCCTTGCTCAGGTCTGCATTCCTCACAAAGAATGCTTCCAGACACTGGGACAGCCAGAGTCCTGGCCAGGTGGATCTCAGTGCTAGAATTTAAAAATGAACTTAAGCACTCCTTCACTAACAAACCTTTTGAAAGGTTAATTTCAGGGTAAGAGAGCTTTTCCAGGGCAAGAAGGAAATAGCTTTAAGATTATATCAAGATTCGGGCGCCTGGGTGGCTCAGTCGGTTAAGCGACTGCCTTCGGCTCAGGTCGTGGTCCTGGAGTCCCGGGATCGAGTCCCGCATCGGGCTCCCCGCTCAGCAGGGAGTCTGCTTCTCCCTCTGACCCTCTTCCCTCTCGTGCTCTCTGTCTCTCATTCTCTCTCTCTCAAATAAATAAATAAAATCTTAAAAAAAAAGATTATATCAAGATTCCGTGAACAGACAAGTCATGTTTGAAAAAGAACCAAAGAGAACCTCTAGGAATGAAGAACATGGTCGTGAAAATTAAAAAGTCAACAAACAGGTGAATCAGCATAATAACCAGACTAAAGAGAGAATTGGTGCTAGAAGAGAGATGTGCAGCCCAGAAATGAGCAGATTCCAACACATGCCTGATAGGACTTTGAGACAGAACAGCGAGAACAGGGAAGAAGCAGTATTGGAGGGAATGAAGACTGAGGATTTTGCAGAATTCATAAAATACATGAAACTCCCAAGAAAGTCCAAGTCCAGAGTTTTAAAAACATACATAGCCAGACACATCATTAGAAATTTTCAGAACATCAGGGCACCTGGGTGGCTCAGTCAGTTAAGCGTCTGACTCGTGATTTCGGCTCAGGTCTTGAGATTGAGCCCCATGCCGGGCTCCGTGGCTCAGCTTGAGATTCTCTCTCACCCTCCCTCTGCACTGCGCCCTCTCCCCCACCCCACTTCTGTGCATGATCTCTCTAAAAGAAAGGAACGAAGGAACAACCTACATTCAGAGAGCCAAGCATCCCTCTGAGATGACATGGAAGGTGAGGGTCCTCAGCTTGTTTCCTGCGCTTGGTAAACTCTGGTGCCATACAGAGGAAGACAACACGAGAAGCAGGGTAGCCATCCAGTCCTGTCCGTGAGCACAGATCTAATAACCCAGGGAGAGGTCAGGAAATGAGCACTAGAAAATCATCAGAACATTAATAACAAATCATTGCATTGAGACCAAGTAAGACTACCCCAGGAATGCAAGGATTAACAGAAAATATATATTCTATGCTCTACCGTGGATTAAAGGAGAAAAAGCATTATAATCTCAATAAGTGCAAGAAAAAGATCTGATAAAATTCAACACCTATTCATGATTTACAGAAAATAAAAAGAGAAAACCCACTTCTCTTTTTAAGATTTTATTTTTAAGTATCTCCACACCCAACATGGGGCTCGAACCCATGACTCTGAAATCAAGAGTCACATGCTCCACTGACAGAGCCCTCCAGGCGCCCAGAGGAAACCCACCTCTTAGTAAACTAGGAACAGAGGGAATCTCTTTTACCTTTTTCTACCAAAAGGAGGGTATCTACCAAAACCTGTGTCTGTATGTACTGAGACAGAGGAAGTGTTTCTTTTAAAATCTGGACCAAGGGAAAGACTCCCCACTTAAGTTAAGCTTTTCCATTGGTTTATGGAATTACTCCCAGCGCAAGGAAAAATAAATTAGAAGGGGGGGGGTAGATATATGCTCTTCTTCAGGGAAAAAATTAACATAAAAGATCAAAAATAAGAGTTTCCCTTTGTCAGGACACTTTTAGCTGTAGGAAGCTGACTACTCACAGCGTCTTTACCATAGTGCCCAACCTCTGTTTCTAGCGGTGAGATAGAGCTCGTAACCTGAGCAGCCCTCCCCCTAAAAACCATTTTAAACATTTGAATAAAACATTTAGAAAAACATCAACACATCACTCAGTTCTTGAACTAAGATTGTACGGCTGTTCATTGCGCTTTTCTCAAAAGCAAAGCGAGTGGATATTGGGAGGGAAGCCAGCTCTGAAGCTGCCCTCTCCCTGAGGGCGTCTGCCTGACCCTAGCTATGTGGTAGTTGGGTTGGGGCAGGAAGAAAAACTGAACCCGTTCTAGGAGGGGCGTGGCCCAGGGGATCCCTGCACAAAGCCCAAGTGGGTGACCTCCAAGTGGGTTTTCCTTGAAAACATCAATGTGGTCCCAAAAATCTCAAATGGAGAATTTACATAAGGTCTTCCCAGGTTGTTAGTGCTCCAGACGACAGGCAGAAATATTACAGGGGCCTTCTGATGAATGTGGCTTCAACCCAGACCTTAAAGGAGCCCTGTGGATAAAGTTCCAAGAAACGATGAGCTGCTGGTGGAAGATCAGGAAACACTCAGTAAACGAAGCACCCAGAGCAGGATCCTGCAGCTACAGCAAACATCAGACCCTGGCCTCTGAAAGCGTCAGGTTTCACAGAACATAAAGTCGGTACACAGTCAATAATAACGTAACAACTTGGAGTGGTGGCAGATGGTAGTGACCCTTAGGGTGGTGAACATCCTATGATGTATATAAATGTCAAATTAGTGTGTTGTACACCTAAAACTAACATACCATATGTCAGCTCTACTTCAATGAAAAATAAAGTCGGTGTGTATAATATGTTCAAAGAAATAAAAGAGGTTTGTAAATATAAGTAGGAATTTGAAGACTATACAAAAAGGACAAGTAGATTTGAAAAGGAACCTGCTTCCGGAAAGCTAAGCTAAGAAAAGGTAAGAAACTGCAACCGTGAAATAAGAACATAACGCTATAACAAGTAATATCCAGAGAGTAAAAAGATAGTGCAGTTCCTGACCTGTTCTCAGGATGGCCTGGGGACTGGTGCTCTGGATTTGTCCTGCCCTCAGCCTGGCCAGGGGTCTTCTGGGGGTAGGAGCCTGCCACACCCTGGGGGTAAGCTGCACGTGGTCTGTCCCGCTGATCCTCACTGAACGAGGGACAGAGACCCAGTGTCGGGGGACTCCCCTAAACAGGCATGCTTCCTGCAGGATGCTCAGGTTCATGACAGGGACCCGGGACATCCCCAGAGCTGAGCTGACAGCACAGACATGCCCTGACCTTTCTCCCAGGTTCTCCTAGGTGTTTGGCTTCTGGCTGGAATCGAGTCTAGATTGCCCGGACCTTGAGGGCAGTGGCTTGTTGTGTCCTATCTGGTGACACGATAAAGTAGGTGATGTTTCGAGTGAAGAACAGCTGGCATGTCCCAAAGACTAAAGCTGGGACTGGGGGAGCGTGGGATGGATGAGGAGGTTGATGCGGTGACCTAGTGTCACAGGAGGGGTAGTGAGTGTTCAAGAAGAGGGGCTCTGGAGCACTTGGGGGTGCAAGGAGGGAAAAGCCGGATGGCCAGGGGGACCAGACCAGGGCTCTAGGGCAGCTCCTCGGTGTCCTCGCCCAGCCCCAGGGTGTGAAGCACCGTCCCCCATCCACAGGGCTACTCCAGGCACCTGCCCTGGGTCCAGGAGCGTGGCAGGTCCCTCCCACAGGCTGCCCATCCACATGTCTTCTCAAGCCGGAACCTTCCCAGGGGTCCAGTCCATCACCACGGCCGTCAGCTTTGCTCCCATTCTCACCTCTGCCCCTCTGGCTCTGTGTGGCGTTCCTGACTGCTCTTCATCTTTCTAGAACAAACCAGACCATGGCACTCTTAAACTGAACGCGGCAGGAGCCCGTCTTCCTGCATGGTGCTGCGGGATTTGGCCCCTGCCTGCCCAGAGTCCACACACTCAGCTGCCTGTGGGCTTGGTCACCACCGCGTGTGCGCATCTAATTCACAGGCCGCTCCGTAAATACGTGTGCAGCAAGTAAAACAATCCTGGCTGTGTGCTTTCACCCCACCTGGGGGCCTTGAAAACGGTGGCACTCTGCAAAATTGTGTGCTAAAAATACCAGGGCTCTGAAAAAGTAGGTTAAGAGCAAGTTACAGAAATCTAGAGAGCTGCCTGAGGAGAACGTCAGCCGCCCCCCGACCCCTCCTGCAGCCTGACCCTGGCCCTGTGAGTCAGGGGTCCCCAGGACGTCCAGCTCCAGGGGAGACCACTTTCTTGCAGGTGCAAAGTCTGAGCAGGCTATGACTCCGTCAGCCTGGGGGGAAACGCCTTCAGGGCTCTCCTCTGTGGAACGGGGGAGAGCCGAGGGCCAGGCTGGGGCCGCGACCCCTCGGGGGTCTCCCAGCAGCCCACCCCCAGCACCCAGCTCTTCCCCGCTCACCAGCCAAACAGGCCGTGCTCTGTGTGGAAGCAAATGTGTGTGGCATGTGGACTCCATCGATGGAGTTCGAGTTTGCCGCTGGTTTGATTTGCTTCCCTGCTCTGTCCTTTTCCCCCCAGTGAAGATAGTGATCCGAGGAGACAGGAACACGGGCAAGACTGCGCTGTGGCACCGGCTCCAGGGCAAGAAGTTTGTGGAGGAGTACATCCCCACGCAGGAGATCCAGGTCACCAGCATCCACTGGAACTACAAAAGTGAGGGCAGGGTGCGGGCCAGGGGACGGGGCGGGCCAGAGGCGGGGTCAGAGCGCAGGCACGGTGCCCCTTGCGGGGTGGGGGCTTTGATGGATCCTCGCTAGGCCTGGTTCCCTAGAGACCCTTCACCGGCGTCCCCAGCCGTGGTGTCATCATGGAAACCCTGTAGATGTGAGGGGGCCTCCTTGAGCAGAGGCGCTGTCATGGGGGCACTCACTAGAGCTGCTCCTGGGTGGCCCTGAAACTCCCCTTGCCACGGGCACTGCTGCAGAGAAACAGACAAGGCAGTGGTGGGGGCTCCGCATAGGGAGCTGTGTCAAACACCCGCTCTCAATTCTAGAGACCCCCAAAGGGCAAAAAGTTTCAGGTTGAACACAGGAGACATCTGTGGGAGCCGGTAGCTGATGCTCCCCACTGCACCGGCACTGGGCACACATGTGTTCCACCAGCAGGAGGGACCCCTCAGTCTCTTTGAGCCCCAGTGCTTTCCCCTCTGCAAGATCGCCTGATGGACAGAACATGCCTCGCCTTGCAGCCCCACAGGCAGCAGACAGTTGCTTTGCATGTTTAGAAACCATGAAAGTAAAAGTCCTTTGAACCATTTCCAACATTCCTTTTTACTGACAAAAATATAGTTGTGAACAGGACACGTGGGGCCTGTAGAAGTTGTGACTCCCACTGAGTGATGACCTAGCCTCATCCCAGGACAGCTGCACGGCCCGGCGTCACCCCAGCTCACCAGCCTTAGGGCCGCAGCCCTGGCACTCCTTCCCGGTTGGGGTGAAGCTGGTAGTGGAAGCCTGCTCTTATGCCCCTCAGCTTGAAGGCCAGTGCACAGCAGTGCCCCACCTGTCCCCTTTCCCTTCGGAATCGTGGGGATGGAGGGGTGAGCCCACTATCCTTGCACTTGGGCCAACCACCAGGAGATATGGCATAGAACCTGGGCCCAGACGGGCCATTCACAGGGTCCTGGCACCCATCCCAGGTGGAGAACTGCCAAAGAGGGGCTAAGAGTCTCCCCTCTGTGGAGAACAAGCAGAGCATGAAAGACAAGTAGTTCTGAGAAAGCCTGGTGGTGAGCCATCCCCATGGCCTGTGCAAGCGCCCACCTCCCAGCAGGGGCCTGTGCCAGGTCAGCTCCACCAAAAGCTTCAGTAGAAGCTCAGTGTTGAGCAGCCGGCTGGAGAGGGCCAACATCCCATGGAACAAAGTTGAGGCTGGTCGCTGGATAAGAGTCAGGCCAGAGCATGGTCAGGCCCATTGAGGCCTGCCCCTGCACCCAGAGTTCTGCTCCCCAGCTGCCCCAGCACCCAGAGCCTGCTCTCCAGGTGCACCTGCACCCAGAGTCTGCTCCCCAGCTGCCCCAGCACCCAGAGTCTGCTCCCCAGGTGCACCTGCAGAGGGGACCCTAGCTATATGGACCTGGCAGGGGACAAGCCCGCCCCAGGGACATTTGCAGGAAATGGGGAGCATGTCAGCTGAGGACAAGCCGGGGTCGTTCAGTGCAGCCCGAGCAGAAGCCTAAAACAGCGAGGAGCCTTGCTGCCCTTCGGGGAAGGAGGCAGCAGCTGGTGCAACGGCCGTGGGTGGGAGTGGGGTGTCCTTGGTGAAGGTGCTGAGCGAGGAGCCCGAGGTGTCCTGGTGGGGGACCCACACTGGAAGAATAGGAACACACAGCAACACCTGGACGGCCCCTAAGAGCCCAAGTGTGACCAGAAAGAAGGTTGAAGGTCATGTTGGACACTAATCTTCATGTCTTCCCCTACTTTAGCCACTGATGATATCGTGAAAGTTGAAGTCTGGGACGTAGTTGACAAAGGTAAGTCACATCTTTTCATCATGAGTACTTTTTCCTGATGCTTTATTCCTTCTGTGAACAGAAGTCCTCCTCGCCCCCCCCCCCCCCCCCCAGCCATAGCCACTCCGTCGGCACATCCTTATGCGGCTCGCGTCCGGCATCGCACGCATGCAAGTCTCTGCGTTCTCCTCAGACTCCGGGTGGACGAGGAGCAGCCCGGGGCTGCAGGAGGTCTGGGCCTTAGAGCAGCTCCCTCCTGCATCTGGGGTGGACGGGGCGGGACGCCCAGCAGTGACCCGTCGGGACTGCAGCCTTTGCTGTTGAAATGCGCATTTCACCCACTGAGGCAGCACATGGTAGTGGGGGGCAGACACTGGTGGCAGAGCTGGGGGGGGGGCTCCATGCCCAGAGGCCCGCATGGGCTGTTCCAGGAGCCCCTCCTGCAGTGCCCCCGCGCCCAGAGCTGAGCGCCAGCTTGTTGGCTTCCGAAGCTGCCACCCCTTGGGGGTACATGCCCACCTGACTGCTCCGCTTGGGCACCGCCGGCTGGGTGTCTCTGCTCTCCCAGGGAAGCGCTTGAGCTATCGGGGCCCCAAACCTCTGGGGCCGTACCCATGTGCACCTGGCGGTCAGGGGCAGACATGGGCCCCCTTCGGCACCCTCTTATTTCCTCCTCACTCTCAGGCCTTGAGCCCGTGTCCCTCCCTGGTGCCAGTGCCCTGTGCGGCCCGTGTGCTGCTGAGTGTGGTCTGACCTCTGACCTGGGAGGCTTACCACAACTGCACGTGTCCTCCAGTGAGAAAGGAGACTGTGGTTTCTGGTGCAGAATGTGCCCACCCGTCTCCTCTCACCCTGTTCTCAGGAGGTGCGTTTAGGTTCCCGGGACTGATTCAGCTGGTATAGGACAGCCCGAGGGCGAGCAGGAGCACCAAGCAGGAACTGCTGCCCGCCAGGATGCCTTCAACCCTGCTGGGCTTATATGGGCCTTGTGCTTCCAGACCTGGGCCGACAGCGTGTCTGTGCACGTGTTTGGAAGGCAGCCCTGTGCGGCGTGGTCACCGTTGTAGATTTGAGGGAAAGTCTCCACACCCTGGGGGCTCCCCTCCTGAAACACTGCCCGCTCCTTCCTGGCCTCAGCCCCATCGGTTTGGGGTGGGATACAGGTTTCCAGAGTGGAGTCCATATTTGGGGGGACAGGGCCCCTTCTGGTCAGCAAGTTACATTGTCACTGGTGGGAACTGCCCCGTGGTGCAGAGGAGATAGGGTTCCACTCCACGGATCATGGGTGTGCCCTGCTTCCTGCCTGTGGAAGGCACAGAACCCGCACACCACATTCAGGGACGGCTGGGGCAGGGATGCCTTGGCTGTTCATGGTGTCCCACGAGGCGCGAGAGGTCCAGGGACAGGGTGGCAGCGCAGGCAAAGGTCCTAGGCTTGTGTGTGGGTGCGCAGCATCTCCACAGCTCCGTGCTACCTGGTCCCCTGGGTGAGAAGGAAAAGCCCCCTCCCCACCGCTCCAGCTGCTTGCCTCTTGGGCAGGGTCTGAGCAGCATGCACAACAGCAGAGGGCATCGAGTTTGAGAGGCCGAGATCCTGGTGGAGAGCAGGAGAAGGGGTCACAGAGGCGAGGCCCGGCGAGTCTTGGAGCAGGGCCCAGAAACTGCTTGTCGGGGTGCCCCCAAGAAGAGAGGGCCCTGGGGAGCAGCCTCGCCTCCCCCAGGCAGCGGTAGCTCCCCGAGACTGTGGGTGGTGCTGCACGCGCCACCATGTGACCAGCTTCTGCTGCCCTGGGGCAGCCCCGAAGGCGGTGAGAGGGTCAGAAAGAAGCTGTGGAAACTGGCAGCAGTCGGGTTTTTGATAAACGAACCCAGTTTGTTGCGGGGAGGAGAGAGCTTTCCTAGTTCGCCCAGGCCGTTCCTCAGACTGAGGGGCCGGAAATTCCCAGGGTGACAGACAGCCCCTCCTCCCTTAGAGCTATCTCAGAACTAAAGGGGAGGGAGCACCAGTGGTTTGGAGCCCTCTGGTACTCAGGAGCCACTAGGGCCAGCTCTGGCGCCCTGTGCTGCTCAGGGCCTCAGCCCAGCCCGGGCAGCTCCGCGGCAGCACCTGAGAGACTGGGCTGGGCTGGCCTGTGCCAGCCGACAGTGCCCTTTCAGGGCTGGGACCTCGGCCAGCCCAGGGAGGAAGTGCCGGAGCTGGAACCAGAGCCTGGGTGGCCATTAGGGCTGTCTTGCTCAGCAGCCCGCTGAGCCCTGCCGGGCACCTTCCAGTCGGGGCCTCTCTCCTGGCTAGGTCGGGGCCGCTATAGCTACAGGGGGGTCTCAGTGGGGTTGGGGCTGCTTCCTGCCACCAGTGGGGTTCCAGTGCCACCTGTGAGGGCCGGGGCCCCTAGTCTGACAAGTATGGCCTTGCTGGAGGTGGGGGCTGGCGTGGGGGTGGGACATGGGGAGAAGTGTTCCTCCCTGGGGCCACAATTCCCCCTGTAACTGTCATCTGTCTTCTAACAAGGGAAGTGCAGGCGGCGAGGTGATGGCTTGAAGGTGGAGAACGACCCCCAGGAGGTGGGTGAGCCGCATCCCCCCATGAGGCCCAGCATTCCAGGTGGGGGTCGGGACCCTCCCTGGGAGCCCAGTTGGACTAGCCGGCCCCACTCCTCATGGGCCCCTGTGTTGTCCACAGGGGTATTTTGGGATGGCTGGGCTTGCCTGAGCTGTTAGTGGTGACACCTGCCAGGCCCCACGAGAGGAGCGTCACCTGAGAGGTATTTAGGTGCACTGGCCAAATTCTGTGGCCCCAGGCACACACGGGCATGAGTATGGCTCTGAATGGGCTCTCCCGGCAGCCATCGTCCTTGACACAAAGAAGTCAGGGGCAGACAGGCACCCCTTCCGTTCCAGGGAAGCTTTCTCCCCATTGTTTTCCAGGGACCCTGCTCTCTGTCCTCCTGCCTGTGGATGGTCAGTCTCAGGGCGGTGGGCAGCCTCTTGCTCCCCTTTAGGGCAGGAAGATTGGGTAACGGCCTGGTTCAGGTCTGTCTGGCTCTTCATAGGATGCTTTGCTACTGCCCCACAGTGCAGCCACACCTCTCTGTGTGCTCTAGAAGGTTCTGTGCCAGCATCTTCCTCAGGCCTGGAACACATCACGCGCGGTAGGGCACTAGCTGCTCCAGCGCTCCTGTCTGGGTGCTAGAAGGTCCCTGAGGCTCACGAGGAAGATGCTGTTGGCTAGTGGAGCAGGCCCTAAATCAGGGGCAGAGTAGATGTGGCCCCAGAGCCTGAACCGTTTACTACTAGACCCTTCTAGGCAGTTTTCCCCCCACTCTTGATGATCTCCTTTACATGTTTTTTTCCCAAATGAAGACTGTGCTTTTCAGCCATCCCAGGAGACAGGGCTCACAACTGTGGGAGCCTGCCCCGAGCACCATCTCATGCCGGTTGTGCCCCGTCCCTAGGCAGAGTCCGAGATGGCCCTGGACGCTGAGTTCCTGGACGTGTACAAGAACTGTAATGGGGTGGTCATGATGTTCGACATCACCAAGCAGTGGTAAGGGGGTGCTGGCTGGAAATAGCCCTCAAGGCTCCTAGTACCACGCCACCTGGAGAGCCACCCCTGGGGGTCCAACAGGTTGTAGTTATACCAGCAGCTCAGTCACATGGAGGCCATGACTGGCCGTCTCCGGGCATGTCCATGAGCACAGACAGGGAGCATGTGGAGGGCGGGCTGGAGTGGGACAGCGCAGGGGCGAGGCATGCACCTTCCACGGCCCCATAGCCCTTCCTGGAAGTACCATGCAACATTTGGCAGAATCAAATGGCCATTTGTTTGGGGTTCCCTAAGACACCCCTGACATTCTCTTATTCACTAAGGAGATGCAGAGGAGCTAAGATCCCAGCAAAAGACTACAGAGGGAGGTGCAGGGGTGAGCCTGGGGGCGGCCCAGCGCCAGCTCCCAAGGGGCCCCTCCTCATGGAGTCACATGGGCAACATGACACATGTGAAGTGCTGTCTTCCAGGGCAGATGGGGACCCTCAATTCCCCAGGCCTGCCAGGTGACTGTTGGTGGAGAACACCAGGAGCCCCAGCCCGACAGCCGCCTGGGGCCCGACAGCTGCCTCGGGCCAGCCTTCCCACAGGCCTCTCCAAGAACGACAGGCTCGGTCCTGCCCTGAGGACGCTGTTCGGTGCGCTGCCGGAAGTCTTACAAAATGCAGAAGGAGGAACTGAGCAGCCTTTGTAGAAATGGCCTGTGGGGTCTTCACTCCATTTTCACTCACTGTTTTTAGAGTTGTTTTATGATTCTTGCATATGTAGTACACGTTCACCATAGCAAACTCAGACGTCAGATGCTGGTGCTGGTGTCATTGGTGGGATCCAGCCAGGTTTCCCCAGGGTGTTCCACACGCAGACCTCTGTCTTCAGAGCTCTGGGATCTTACTACAGGTCTGTGTGGATGCTGCTTTGATCGGAGAATACATTCACGCACAGGGATCAGACAGGGATCCGACAGGGCCTCCCGCCAGCCCTTCTGGCGCACGGGATGCACTCCTGGGTGCCTCCCATCGTGGACCACCCACTAGCACATGCATGGGAGGCCCCGGGGTGGCAGCAGGCGGAGCATCAAAAATGTGCCAAGCAGGGTGGGGCGGCCCTTGGGGCGCAGACGTGCCCGTGCAAGAGGCAGCCACGCCGCGCCCCCCCCCCCCCGGGGGTAAACACCAGGTGGCAGCAGGACCAGCGTTTCTCCCATGTAAGCTGCAGTGGTCCCTTCCGCCCAGGGGGTTAGAGGTAGCTTTCCCTGCATGGAATCTGGTACGGACACTCTTAGCGGCCACTCCACTTCGGCAGGCCCCCACTAAAGCCCCGTAGCCTTTGCTGAAAGGCAGGAGGCCCACATGGGGGAGCCGTGGGAGGCCCGCTGGGAGGCATACCTGGGCTGCAGGGGGCAGAGCAGGCGCTGGCAGATGGGGGTCTGCCCGCTGGTGCTCAGAGCCTGGGCCGGTTCTCAGAGGCCCGGGACCTGCTCCAGCAGCACACTCCCTGCAGGTGGCGCCACTCTGTCCAGGTTTTTGCTGTGGCCAAGGAAAGCAGCTGCACTGACCCCTCGTGGGTCAGATGGCATTTGCAGTGGATGGTGCGGGCCAGAACAAGGCCTGAGTGCACTGGGCCCCGCGGGGCAGAGGAAATGCTAGAGACTGTGCAGGAGGGCAGACACCCCTGGCCCTTTGTTATCGTTCCCAGTAACCGCGTGTAAGTCAGAACTAACGTCCGGTTTGCCGTGTGGGCGTGTGGGTCTGCCGTTCCCGTTGGCAGTCTCGGGTCGGAGGCACATTACTCCTCCCCTCACACATCATCTGGGAGCCCCAGCCATGGGCCACAGGCCTGGGGAGCGAGGCCCTGACACTGCAGAAGCGACCCCTCGGAGACCCCACAGACAGGGTGCGAACACAGCTCGCCAAAGGGATCCCCCAGGGAGGGAGCTGGAGAGAAAACAAGAGAAGCAAGGGCTGTTCTATAGGGTGCGGGCACACGGCCCTCATGCTCTGTGGGCACTCAGGGTTCTGGGCCCCGGACACGCAACGGGTTGGGGTGGGGGGTCTCGAGGTTGACGCTAAGGAGGTTTCTCCTCTCCTGTGCCCCCTAAGGACCTTCAACTACATCCTGCGGGAGCTTCCCAAGGTGCCGACCCACGTGCCAGTGTGCGTGCTGGGGAACTACCGCGACATGGGCGAGCACCGAGTCATCCTGCCTGATGATGTGCGCGACTTCATCGACCATCTGGACAGGTGGGTGGAGCAGCCCACGCCGGGGATGCACCCCGCCCTCCCCAGCCCCGGCGGTCCCTAGGCCAGGAGCCAAGCCATGGCAAGAGGACCTGGGACTGAGGACGGCAGAACCAAGGGTTGGCAGCTGCCTTCCTGGCACACAGCAGGCCTGCGGGGGGAGGGGGTAGGCACTCCGTCCTTCTCTGAGGCCGGGGGTCGGGCTGATGCAGCAAGGCCCCCTCCTCTGGGCACGAGCCCAGGCTGGGTGTCGCCTGCTGGGCCCTCAGGTGTGGGCCCTGGGAACATGGAGGCACTGGCTCCAGCCAGGGGGGTGGGCACGGGCATCAAAGACAGCCTGGCCCAGGTGTGGCCATTGGCCCAGAGGGGCTGCGCCCTGCTGCCCACCACCAGCCGCCTCAGCCTTCAGAGCCATTCCATTCTTTTTGCAAACAGGCCTCCAGGCTCCTCGTACTTCCGCTACGCCGAGTCCTCCATGAAGAACAGCTTTGGCCTAAAGTACCTTCACAAATTCTTCAATATCCCGTTTCTGCAGCTTCAGGTGAGCCCCGCCTATAGGGTGCAGCAAGTGGCACTGGGTTCTTCAGGGGCCGCTCTGGTGCAGGGAGAAGACCGCCGTCAGGACTTAGTGTGCTGGTGCTGGCGGCCCCAGCATGGCCCGCTCCATCCCCTCCCCTCTGCTGGGCTAGCCTGAGACCCAGGCCTTTCTAGAACTTTCACAGAGCTACAGGAGAACGCAGGGATCCTTCAGATGCCCCTGTCAGGCCGTTTCTGACCAACAGGGCAGGAACTGGAGGTGTAGACGAGTGGTTGCCTCGGGCCCGCACCGACTCTGCTGAGGTGCCCTGTGCCGGTCCCTCTTCCCCATGGGAGCAGTCGGCTGCCTCCCCCCCCCGCCCGGTTTGTAGCTGCAGGGAGAGCCTAGCCAGGTCCCACCCCCTCCTGGTGCCAAGGGCTCCTGGGCCCCTCACTCCATTTCCCCTGATGCCAGCCTCTGGGGTTTCCACTATGCTTCTCTCCAAACCACAGAAGCAGTGTCGGTGCGCTGACTGACGCAAGGCTGTCGCCCCGGGTGTCCCTCACAGGCCCGGCCCCACCTCACCTGGAGCATTCTGCTGAGCCTGCTCTGGGCTGTGAGAGCGTCTCAGGGAGCCCCATCCAGGGGTCACATCGTAGTGGGGGCATGCAGCATCTTGTCGGGATGCTAGCCTGTGGCCCCTCTGCAGCCAGGTGGCTGCCATTCTTTCTCCAAACTGTGTGGGCCTGCTCGGTAGAGTGGTGGTCTTTCCTCTCCTGGCTTTTTCTATTTGGAGGGAAACGAGGGCCCCACAGACAGGGTGCTCACTTGGTCTCACTTGGAAGGAAGGCTGGTATGAGCAGACTCCGCAGCGGGGTCAGCTGCCCCTGCAGCCTGCCGTTTCCCTCAGGACCCTGCGTGTCATGTGCATCCCTCTTACAGATCCCTGTAGCTTCTCATCCACGTGCGACAGGCACACAGATCTTGAGGGAGACACTCCGTGTTTCCTGTGCCTGGCGCACGTGGAAGGGCCGAGGACTGGCCCCGAGATGGCGTGTGCCAGAGCTCAGAGTGTGGAAGGACAGGGCGGAAAGCCTGGTGTTGGGCATGTTGGAGCCACTCCGGCTTCTGGGGGCACGTGTGTGGCCGGGGCACTGTCTCTCTGGGCGTTGCTCACAGCACTGACCATGCCCTCGGAGCCACACTGAGCTGCTTGGGTGTCCTGCTCGCTGCGGTGTCCTCTGTCAAGGGCTGGCTGAGTGGGGACACAAGGCTGAGGGGTTCTCTGCTCCCTCCTCTAGAGAGAGACCCTGCTCCGGCAGCTGGAGACGAACCAGCTGGACGTGGACGCCACGCTGGAAGAGCTGTCCGTGCAGCAGGAGACCGAGGACCAGAACTACGACATGTACGTCCGCCCGGGGGCTGCCCCTGGACATTAGCCCGCAAGCAGGCTCTGCGGGAGGGCCTGCACCCTGAGGGCCAGCCTCCCTACACGTGCCTCCAGCTTAGGTCTGTGCCAAGCCCGACAGCAGCGCAGAGTGCCTCCCTCCTGGGCGGACCTGACAGCCTGAGTGGGTCGTATCGCTCCGAAAAACCCGAGTCATTCCAGCCTCGGATGTGGCCACAGGCAGGGACCAGAGTGTGGGCAGGACAGTGGTCCTCACTGTGAGGTCATCCAGCAGCCCTTTCCATTCTCTGTAGCAGGGAGCTTGCGGACTAATGGCCAGTAGAGCACGTGCTCGTCTGGAACAGGCAGCTTGAATTGGACGTGGAGCCCCCTCCCCTGGGCTCCTCTGGACACTCCCTGGGGCCCACAGAGCACATTGGGGCTGGGCCTTTTCAAATTGGCCTCACTGGAACCCAGGGGGCTCCAAGCTGATGGGTGTGACCAGGGCCCTGCTGACCGCCCGTTTGCTAGAGATGGTCACTGTGCGGGATGCCACTGACCCAGGACAAGTGTCCACCCAAGGCCCTGCTGAGACTGGCCACCCTCGTGTTTTCTGGCGCAGGCTGCCATGGTTGGAGGTCAGTTTCCCAGACAGTAGAGTAGGTCTTCGGAGAGCTCCTTGACCTTGGGAGGGGCTTGTGGTGCTGAAGACTGGGGGCTAGGAACAGAACCTTCCAGTCCTTGGTAGCAGAGGGAGGGAGGTTCCTGGCTGCAGCTGTGCACGGCCAACCACAGAGCCACGTGGGTGGTGAGCAGCCCTCGGGCAGGCCCAGCCACCGCCTGGGGGGCTCTGGTGGCCACCCCCCACAGCTCCTGGGAGAGGCCCTTGCTTTCAGGAATGGGTGACCCTGAACTACCCCTAAACACAGGTGTTTCTGTTTTGTTTGGTTCCCACAGAAAGCCCCTAAATGTCACAGTTGCCTGTGCCCATGTCATGGGCATGCTGCTCCCCCAGCAGGTGTCTGTCCCCACAGGGACTCACAGGAGGGCCTTTGGGTCTCCCTGGAGTCGGATCCATGTGTTGGTCCTGGAACTAGCCAGAGTGGTTCTGGGGGAATGAGTGCTTGTGCCCCTAGGCTGGTCCTCCAGGAGGGAGCCGCAGCCTGGTAAGCGGCGGCCCTTGCCGTGGAGCCCATCCTGGGGTTGACTGGCTTCTCCGAGCTCCTCTGACCGAGAGCTTCGGTACCCGGCACTACCCAGCGTGTTGCCCCCCTGGGGAGATGGCAGCCGGAGCCTCTCCTCCACACGCGCCCCTCAGCCAGCCCTGGGACCAGGCTGCCCGAGGAAGGCGGCACCGCTGGGGGCTTGGCACTGACGTGTCCGTGACCTAGAACACGTGTGCCAGGCCAAAGACTTGGGCTTCACCCTCAGCCTTTCCATCCTCCTTCCTCCACCCCTAAATCCCGACTTGGAGGTGCAGGTGGCCAGCCCAGACGCACCCTTGTCGGTCGCCAGGTAACAGGGCCGCTCTCCGTTGTAGACCTTCTGTCGGAAAGCCTGCCTCAGAAGGGGAAGGCGTTGCCACAGGCTGGTGGCATCACCGGCCTCAGCCCATGGACAGTGGGGCTCGTCACTGAGGTTCCGTTGATTTGGAGCCCCCGGTTTGGGCTGCTCCCTATCTTGGAGGTTTAGGGCCTTCCCCGTAGCAGGTCCTGTGCCTGCTGATGGGTGTGGGTGAGGAGCCGCCAAGCCTGCCTGTCGGCACTCGCCAACCCCTTCCCTGGCAGGATGCTGGGCTTGATGCTAGGGTGTGAGGGCCGATGAGCCCGAGGACCAGGACACTGCTGTCACCCTCATCTCAGGGGAGGAGACCTGGGGGGCAGGCAGACTGCTCACCACCTGTTCTGTACCCCCAGCTTCCTCGAGCTGATGGAGGCACGCAGCCGTGGCCACGCGTCCCCACTGGCAGCCGACGGGCAGAGCCCATCCTCAGGCTCCCAGTCTCCAGTGGTGCCTCCCAGCGCTGTGTCCACAGGGAGCTCCAGCCCCAGCACACCCCAGCCAGCCCCACAGCTGCCCCTCCACACCCCCTCAGCCAGCCCCTGTCCCCCACCCCCCACAGAGGCCCCACTGCCCCCTGCAGCCCCTGCCCCACGGCGCAGCATCATCTCGAGGCTGTTTGGGACCTCGCCAGCTGCCGAGGCAGCCCCTTCACCCCCAGGTGAGCCCCGGGAGCAGAGCAGGTGGGTGTGTGTGGGTGGCCCTAGTGGTGGAGCACTGGCCCCATGAACTTGCAGACCGGGACAGGCAGCCCCACAGCCCAGTCACATGGGTACAGCCCAGGATAGGCCTGGTGGGGACGGGCGTTGGACAAGTGGAAACTGGCCTCTCCTGTCCACAGAGCCAGCCCCAGCTGCAGAGGCCCCAACCAAAGTCCAGAACGTGGAGGATTTCATTCCCGAAGAAGGCCTTGACCACAGCTTTCTGGATGACACAGTGCCCCAGAAGGATGAGAAGAAAGTCGGAGCCAAGGTCCTACAAGACAGTGACAGGTAGGGGCAGAGGCCAGGCGGGCCCTCAGTCTTCCTCCAGCCTCCCCCAGCCCTGGGGTGAGCTGAGGGGGGCACGCCCTGCCAGTTCAGCAGCATCTCAGAGGGAAGGGCTCCGTGAAGCCCTGCGCCCCAGGAATCCTGCTCAGACCAGCCGTCAGGCCACTGCGTTGCTGATGTGGGCTGGGCCTCAGGCTCCAGGAGCTCCCTGCCCACAGAGAGGGAGCAGGGCGAGTGAGGCTGGCCTGACCCTGCATGTTGGTGCCCATGACCCACCATCAGCACCTTCTTGGGCAGAAACCACTGAGAGCGTGGGCACTGGCAGGAGAAGCCCAGGGCCTCCCCGGGACGTTGGGCAGACAGAGCAATTCAGGCCTGGCCTCCCACCCCAGCTGCTCACCCCGCATCATCAGCTCCTGGGCCTCTCCTGCACGTGCTTCCCTGCACCGCACTGAACCCAGGTCAGACCCACCAGTCCCCAGCATCCCTGGGTCCCTCCAGTCCAGGCTCCTCCCCCAGTACCAGAAACACCCCCAGCCCACCCACGCCCACGCCCTGCACCCCACCACCATGCAGGAGGGCGCCCACTTCACACAGCGACAGCAGGCCCCACCGTGGCTTCTGGCTGCGTGCTGGCATCTCCGCCCCTCTCCTTGGCCCCCACCTCACACCCCTGCCCCCCCGCTGGCCTGCACCACTGCCATACCACACACAGCAGTGGGTTCCCTTGCAGACCGCCCCTGCCGCAGGTCCCCTGTTGTCTGTCCTCCCACAAGTGTTGAGTGCCAAGGGTAGACCAGCCTCTCCGTCAGTGCCCACGCCATGCACAGAGAGGACCTCTGGTGCCTGTGGGTGCCAGGGGTCTGGAGCTCAGGGTGGGAAGCTGGGCTCTCTGTACCGCCCTGCTAACCTCTGACCACCCTGCCTGTCCCCCCTCTGCAGCGATGGGGAGGCCCCAGGTGGGAACCCGCTGGTGGCAGGTTTCCAGGATGATGTGGACGTTGAAGATAAGCCGCCCAGCAGGCCCCGACTGCCCCTGGGCCCCAGGGAAGACGTGACTTCTTCCAGTGAGGAGGAAGCAGAGGGGGTGGCGGTGCACCCCAGGGCCACTGTCCTGGTCCCCGAGAAGTGCTCTGAGCCAGAGACCAAACGGTATGTGGACGGGACCCGCCCCAGGCGTGGGGGCGGCCGAGAGCCCCCTGACCTTTTCTTGTCCCAAAGGCCCTCCACAAAGGCCGCGAGGCTGCGCAGGGGTGCGGCTCCCAGGGCTGTGGAGTCCCGCCGGCCAGGCGTCCGCAAGTCCCCCACCGAGGACCCCTCTGGAGGGCATGAGGAGGGCAAGGACCAGCAGGCAGCGTCGTCAGAGAGTGACCCTGAAGGGCCCATCGCCGCCCAGATGCTCTCCTTTGTCATGGACGACCCCGACTTTGAGAGCGACTCGGACCCTCAGCGGAGAGCGGTGAGAAGGGGACTTGGCGCCCACTCAGCTTGGAAGCCCTGGGGACAGTCTCGGGCGGGAATGGCAGGAAGGAGAAAGCGCCTGGCGACATCCTCCTGGGGCAGGAGCCTCAGATCACTGTGTGGCCCCAGGGAGGGGCTGCAGCGTCCCGGCCCCCACATTGGTCCCTGCTGGCCACCCTGACTCCAGGTTGGGTGGCAGGGCCTTTCGAGGTGGCTTGTCACCTGCCTGAGACATGCAGGAGCCCTCCCACAGGGGTCACATGATGGGGAGGACGCTGGCCGCCCAACCTGCTGGCTCCTTCTCCAGGATGAGTTCCCAGTGCGAGAGGACCTCTCTGACGAGACAGACGAGCATGCTGGTCCTGCCCAGCCACCCCCACCCCCCAAGCCGCCTGTGTCCTCCTTCAGACTGAAGAATGACTCGGACCTCTTCGGGTTGGGACTGGCGGAAACGGGCCGCAAGGAGATCAGCGATGAAGGTAGTTCGGGGGCCCGGGTGAGCTGGGGGTCATGGGGTACATGCCAGGACCATGTTGGAAGGATGGGCGGCAGGGGGCACCTGGCTGAGTGTCTGCACAGGTGGCATTTGATGGCCTGGCAGGGTGGCTGCGAGCAGCATGCACTTCAAGTCCCGCCACCCCTGGGAAAAGTCGCATGGTTGGTAGGCCTGTGGAGCTCTCATGGTGCCTTGTGGCCCGGGGCAGCTGCACAGCTCCCTGTCCCTACCCTCCATCCTCGGCCCCCTGAGCCCAGCGCCAACTAGCAATGTCCCGTGAGACGTGTCCCAGAAGTTCCTTGTCCCCAAAATGGAGAGGAAAGGACCCTCCCAGGCTCGTGCTGGGATTGAAGTGTGCCTGCCCGTCAGCAGGTGTGTGCTCTGGCTCCGCTCGGGTCTCAGTGCACCTGCCCGGCCGCGCCAGCCACCCAGGCGCCCCCTCCGCATACCGGCTGGGGAGCCGCAGGCCCATGCTCTGCCTTCTCTGCAGGTAAGGAGGGCAAGCCTCCCACGAAAGAGAAGAAGAAGAAGAAGAAGAAAGGCAAAGAGGTAGGCACCCTGCCTCCCACCTCCCAGGTGCCTGCCGGGCAGTTTGGGGTCCTGGGGCCCCCACGACCGGAGCTGCCCTCTTCCCAGGAGGAAGAAAGGGCCGCGAAGAAAAAGGGCAAGCCTAAGAAGAGCAGAGACAAGGAGGAAGGCAGGCAGGAGCGGCGGCGGCGGCCCAGGGCTACAGAGAGCACCGCTGTGGACGAGCTGGAGGCCTTCCTGGGGGGCGCAGCGCCGGGGGGCCACCTCCGCGGGGGCGGGGACTACGAGGAGCTGTAGGCCTAGCCCCGCCCCCCCGCCGGGGTGGGGACGCGCCGCGGGCCCCCTCCTGGCCCCTGGGGCTGCGGGGGCCACGCTGCAGGGAGTGGGCCAGCGGGCGGTGGGCGGGGCTCTGCAGGCCGCCGGCCCCCAGCGCTTCTCAGGGATGGGACTGAGGCCCAGGAGGCCGCGAGGCTGTTTACAGGGCGGGGCACGTCCTCGTCACCGGCCTGGCTCCTGCTTGCCCCCAGCCCGCTGCACTCGCTCTCCCAGGCCCCCCCGCACGTGGGTGGGCTCCGCTTCCTGCCCCTTCTGGCATGGGGGGGGCACACCCCCCGGCAGCACCGGCGCCTTCCCCAGGCTAGGGTCCAGCTTTGCACCTGCGCTGGGCTTGCTGCCAGCCAGGCCAGGGGGGTCCTCAGACACTGTTTCCTCTCGTTCTCCTTCAACACTCCGACCATAAAGCTCTCCTGTTTTACTGTGTGTCTGTGTGCGCTTCTCCCTGTGCGCAGCTCCGCCCCAGCCCCATCTGTCCCAGGTCACAGTGGGTGGGTCTGAAGGTTCTGAGCTCCCTGCCTCTTTCCCAGAGGGGCAGCTGCCCCTGGATAGGAGGCCTTGCAGCCCCACGTAGCCCAGGGAGGTGGTCTGCAGAGGCCTTCCCAGCAGGCCCCGCCCCACGTCTGTCCGGCCCTGGGCAGGTTGGGCGACCTAGCCCTTGTCCCGCACAATGTCCTGCCAGGGCTAGGCATCTGTGCCCAGGAACACCTGCGGGCCCCCAGACCTTCTGCGGCAAGTGCGGGTCTGCTCTGCTGGTCTGTCCCAGCCACCTTCCTGGTCGGCCTTCAGACCAGCATCTCCCTGCAGACCCCGCCCCCTCCGGCTGCCAGCAGCGCCCAGCCCCCACCCACCACCCCACAGTTGCCATGAGAACCAGGCACACGGTGGGAGGGCGGGGGTGGTAGCCAGGCCTCCCCTCTCGGTCCAGAAGGCCTCCCCCTTCCCCAATTCCTGTGCCTAGAGGAAACCATGGCACTGGGCTGGAGGCCAGGCACCAAGCTGACACCTTAGGGACTTGCGTTAGCCCACAGCCTAGGAGATCTACTGCCCGTATGGAGCCCACTAAACATGGGGAATCAGGCTGACACGAAATGAACTTGCCCAGGGCCCTGGATCTAATGGACCCACGACAGGACAGGTCCTGCCCTTTGGAGCCAAGGGCATCCGTGACTCAACCCTCTGCCAAGTCAGACTGTGCCCTGGCTCAGCATCTTGTTTGGGAGGGGCTGAGAGGCCTAGGGGATGGGTGTCACTGTGTGGTTTGTAAGTGGACCACGTGCAGACCAGCCCAGGGCAGCGACAGCCCTCCACTCATCTAGACCCTGACCCCCAGGGAGCCCAGGAGAGTCTGAGCATCCTGGGAACAGGAGGCCACAGGCCTCACTCAGCCGTGCCCATCTGGCCCCAGGTACCTGCAGAATTTGGCACCTCCGGCCCGGCAGAGCAGAGGCCAGCGGGGCTGGGAGCAGCCCATCTGCTCCTGCAAGGGCTCAGCGGAGGTGAGAATTCCGGGAGCTGTCAGCAGCCCCAGCCAGAGCTTGGGGCTCCTCCAGGGCCCTGCCCCAAGGCCACCACCAAGCCACCAGCTGCCCTTGGGGGGGGTGGGGCGTACGGCTGGAGGTGGGGACTAGCGGGACCGGCGGGGTGCTCCCTGGGTGTGGGCCCCCCGGTTGGACCCTAGGCCTGCGCCTTGGAAATGAGGGAGAACTTGTCACCTGGCGCTCAGCGCCAACACACAGCTGGTGGGCCACACGGGTCCCAGGCCCACCGCACGGCCCCTTTAAGTGCAGCCCAGCCGGCCGCCACCGGAGGCAGCACTGAGCGGCCGGCGGCCTCCGCGCCGCTGCCTCGAAGCTTCTGCCGCTGCCGGGGACGCCGCCGAGCGCCAAGAGGGGAAGGCGGAGCGGGCGCAGGCCTGCGCAGCCCACCGGGCGCGCACGGTGGGGAAGCAGCGCCCAGGTAAGGGGTCGCGGGCCGCTGCCCCACGGGCCCTATCACGGGGCGGGGGGACACCCGCCAGGATGGGGGCCCAGCCCGGAGCCACATCAGCGGGTCCCGACTCTCGGCGCTCAGGGCGGGGGCAGGGCTCTGCGGCGGGGAGGGCCGCGGGAGGGGCTCGATAGGCCTCGGACCCCTGCAAGGCCGGCCATCCCCATGGCCTTGGGGAGGGGCGCCACCCAGTCCAGCTCCTTATCGCTGCAGAGGCAAAGCCGCCGAGCTGTCACTTCCCTGGGGCGGAGCCTCATGCCCTGTCATCGGACCCCCAATCCCGGCCTGGCTTTGAGCTTAGGTTGGAAAGAGGGTGAGAAGGGGACAGTCCTGTGAACAGGGACGGAAGTGGGGTGGGCGCAGGGCTGGGATGGGACAGGCACCCAGGCGTCATGGCCCTGACCCAGAAGAGCAGCCCTGCGGGCAGAAAGCCCCTGGCACCCTGGGACACAGAGGGTCGACCTGACCAGAGATCCTGCCAGGTGAGGGCCCAGCCCCCGGGGTCGCCCTCGCTCAGCCTGGGGCATGCTTCCCAGTTTGTGTGAGGAGGGGGCCGTCAGCATCGCCGGAGACCCGATTCAACCTGTCCAGAGAGCCTGTGCACCAGAGGGGCCGGTGGCCCCAGTCCGAACATTAGCCCAATGCACAGGGTGGACCCCAGCCCAGCCCCCACTGCGGGGGCAGAGGAACCTCAGGTTGCCATGGAGCCTTCCTGAGCTGTTGTGGAGAGGGCCCTCTCCTGAGAAGCAGTGAACAAGGGGGGGCTTTACCCGCCTACCATCCTGCCTCCCCTGCTCGCGGCCTGGCCTGGTGTGCTGCTCAGGGGAAGAGGGGCAGCCATGAGCTCGTGGCTCACGCCCCCACGTGGTCCTGAGGTGGGTGCCTGGTTTCCCAGCTGCAGTGCACAGGCTGCAAAGCTGGGGAATGGCTCTCCGGTCCTTGTCATGACAACCCCAACAAGCTTGGTGGGTTTCAACCACCCCAAGATATTGGGGATCAGAGAAGGTTTCTGCAAAGGAACAGGGGTTTTAGGGCCCAGGGATGCTCTTTGTGGGGCATTATTCTGGCCTGGGCCACACTAAGAGTTGGGCAGGTCAGTCTGTCGGTCCAGGGGCCATGCCTGGACCTGACGGAGCTATGTCAGTGCCCACTGGGGCCTCCCAACTGGAGTTTGGTTCAGGGGACCGTTCCCAGTGCAGCTGCCACTGCAGTGCTGCGGGAGGGACTCCATGCCCCACCTGGTCAGCAGGTGGGTAGGGAGGCTCAGTGACTTTGTGCAGAGCTGGCTAAGGCTGGAGCCCCTGGACTCCCCCTCAGACAGCACCGTCGGAGGGCTTGCTCTGCACTGGGCACTAGGAGGGGGCTTCAGTCACCAACGGGTTTTGTGAAGCCAACACCTATAAAGAAATCTGTAAATAAGGCTTCCCATGAGCATTCAGTCATTGCAGCTGGGACCACCCACCCCCCATTGCTCCTGCCCCAGGAAAGGGGTTCTACCCAAACCTGTCCAGTGGTCACTATTGGGGGCAGAGGGGCCATCCAGGGATATGGCCCCAGGGGGTAAGAGCTCGGAAACCACAGCAATAGCATGGCCTTTCTGGCTGACTGGCTCCAGCCCAGCAGAAAGTGGCCCTGAAAGGATGGCCTGGGACAAGGGGCAGGACCTGAGTGGCTGGACACCTGGGTTCCTCCTGCAGGTGCTTCTGACGCCGGCATGGAGCAAGCGCCTGTGGCCTCAGCTAAGGCCCGCAGCCAGGACTGCTACGTCCACGGCGTCCCAGGTAAGTCAGGTGAGCGCAGGGGTGCCGCCAGGCCTGGGTTGCAGAGGGGACACCCTGACCCGCATCTCCCACCAGGGCAAAAGCCCCCCAAGGCAGAGTAAACTGCAACCGCCAGCCTGGGGACCTCTTTTAAGATGACCCGCACGGACCCGCCGGACCTGTTGGTGTCGACCGTGTACCAGGACATCAAGGTGGCGGCCCCCGGGCCCGCGTCGCGGCGCCCGCCATGTGAGCGCTCCGTGGCCCCGCCTGCTGCACCCGCGCCTTTCAACAAGCGTCACTGCCGCAGCTTCGACTTCCTGGAGGCGCTGGACGGGGCGGCCATGGAGGCCCGCACAGAGCCGCCGCCCCCGGAGCCTGCCGCGCCGCGCGCCCGGCCCCGCGACGGCGAGCCCCGGCGCCGCGCCCGCTCCAAGAGTGCGCCCCGCGCGCCCCCGGGCCTGGCGCCTGCACCCGCCTCGCCGCCAGTGCTGCCGCGCCGCGGCCGGGAAGCCCAGCGGCCAGCGCGGGCCGAGGCATCGCCGCACCGGGAGCCTGCGTACCCCGCGCTGCGCGCGCTCGCCAATGAGCTGCACCCCATCAAGCTACAGCCGCAACGGGGCGGCCCTGGCCGCATCGCGCCCCTCTGCGCCACCGCCGGCCGCTGCGCGCCCCCCGAGCCACCCGCCGGGCCTGCACCCCACGTCCGCTGCCGCCTGGACATCAAGCCCGACGACGCGGTGTTGCAGCACACCGCCCGGAGCTCACGGTCCTGCGGGCCCGCGGAGACCACGCCCTGGGCACGCGCCGCCCCCCACTTCCACGGCCTCACAGTGCCCGGGCCTCGCCACATGGCGCTGTCGCGCACCCCCACCCCCAGTGACTACTGTGCGGACCCCCGGGCGCTGTACTGTGATGGTCCGCTGCCTGGGCCCCGGGACTATACAGAGCGCCGAAATCTGCCCTTCACCACGCCGCCAGGCCCCACCCAATTCTTCTACACAGAGGAACCCGAGGGCCACCCTGGCGGCTTTCCGGCCAGCCCTGGGCCGCCCTTCGACAGCTACTATGCCAGGCCCTTCCCGTCCGAGGAGCCCCCTGTACCCAGTCCAAGGCGCAGCAGCGGCTACTATGCGGGGGAAGTGCGCACCTTCCCAGTCCAGGAACCTCCCTCCCGTTCCTACTATGTGGAGGCCGCTCGAGCCTACGGACCACCCTGCGGCCCCCGCTATGCTCCCGAGGAACCCCGGGCTCATCCCCCTCTCCGCCCCTTTTACACCGAGGACTTCGGGCGGTACCGCGATCGCGAGGCCCTGGCTCGGACTTACCCACACCCACGCGGCAGCCCCGCTTGGGGTGACTGGGGCCTGCGGCCTTACCGCACCTTGCAGGTGGTGCCTCCTCCGGACCCTGGCCCATTGCTCGCCTCTTGGCACGCGGGCACCGGCACCAGCCCGCCCCGGCTGGCCACTGACAGCCGCCACTACTCTCGCTCCTGGGACAACATCCTGGCGCCTGGGCCGCGCCGGGAGGACCCCCTGGGCCGCGGTCGCAGCTACGAGAACCTGCTGGGGCGCGAGGCACGGGAGCCGCGGGGGGCATCCCCCGAAGGCCGGCGTCCACCCGTCGTGGTGAACCTGTCCACCTCACCTAGACGCTATGCGGCGCTGTCTCTGTCAGAGACGTCACTGTCAGAGAAGGGCCGCGGGGGCGAGGGCCTGGGCCGCAACTGGTATGTCACACCTGAGATCACCATCACCGACAACGACCTGCGCGCCGCAGAGCGTCCGACTGCCAGGGGCTGGGAGCTGCCAGGGGGGCGACCCCGGCGGTCTCCGCCCGCCGCCCCCGAAGGCCCCACTGGTGGCCGCCAGCGCAGCCTCGAGCAACTGGACGAACTCATCACCGACCTGGTCATCGACTCTCGGCCCCCGGCCGGCCAAGCCCCGGAGCCCGTGGCCGATGGCCTGGGCCGCCAGCTGCGTCGCCTGCTGGACTCTCGGCCCGCGGGCCCCGGGGCACCCGCGCTGGCGCCGCGCTCGCCACCTGCGTCGGCCGGCAGCACCGAAGAGCCCGCGGGCCCGGGGCAGGCGACCGACGGGTCCCCGGAGCCCAGCGCCGACGAGGACGACCTGATGACATGCTCCAACGCGCGCTGCCGGCGCACCGAGACCATGTTCAATGCCTGCCTCTACTTCAAGTCCTGCCACAGCTGCTACACCTACTACTGCTCGCGCCTGTGCCGCCGCGAAGACTGGGACGCGCACAAGGCGCGCTGCGTGTACGGCCGCGTGGGCAGCGTGTGCCGCCACGTGCTGCAGTTCTGCCGGGACAGCGGCCCGGTGCACCGCGCCTTCTCGCGCATCGCACGTGTCGGCTTCTTGTCGCGCGGTCGCGGCGTGCTCTTCCTGGGCTTCCCGAGTCCGGGCTCTGCAGACAACTTCCTGCGCTTCGGCCTCGAGGGCTTGCTGCTGTCGCCCACCTACCTGTCTCTGCGCGAGCTGGCCACGCACGCGGCGCCCCTGGGCAGCTATGCGCGCGAGCTGGCGGCCGCCGGGCGCCTCTACGAGCCGGCCGAGTGCTTCTTGCTCAGTGTGTCGGTGGCCGTGGGCCCCGGCGCCGCGCCCCCCGGCGCCTCCGCCCGGCCTGCGCCCGCGCCGCGCAGTCCTGGGCCCACGGTACGCAAGTTCGCCAAGGTGGCGCTGGCGGCCGGCAGCCCGGCGCGTCCGCCCCCGGCTCGGGGTCGCGAGCCCGACATGGAGACGCTGATCCTGACTCCGCCGCCCGGCACGGCGGGCCTGGACCAAGAGGGCGAAGCAGGCCGGCGCGCGCGCGAGGTGGCCTTCATCCACATCCAGCGTGAGCTGCGGCTGCGCGGCGTCTTCCTGCGCCACGAGTACCCGCGCGTCTACGAACAACTCTGCGAGTTCGTCGAGGCCAACAGGCGTTTCACGCCCACCACCATCTACCCCACGGACCGGCGCACGGGCCGCCCTTTCATGTGCATGATCATGGCTGCCTCCGAGCCACGCGCGCTGGACTGGGTGGCCAGCGCCAACCTGCTGGACGACATCATGTGAGCCGCCGGGTGGCGCCTGGGCTCCGCCCAGCCCGCTCAGGGCCCGCCCACTCCGACCCCGCCCAGTCCACGTAGGGCCCACCCCCGAGCTGCGCCCAGTCCATCCAAAGCCCACTCCGAGCCCACACAGCCCTCTCAGGGCCCGCGCCGTCCACCTAGGGCCTGCCCCCGAGCTCTGCCTGCCTACTCAGACCCCGCCCAGCCCACCGGGAGCCCCGCCCAGCCCCTCAGGCCCGGCCGTGCTCCCCCCAGTCTTCCACCGGTTCGCCACGAGCTCCGCCCAGACCCTGCCCTTTGGAGTCAGCAGTCCCCGCCTTTCCCTCCCCCCTCCCTCCCCCCAGCTAGCCCTGGGGCCTCCCCGGAGGCCGGTCCTCGGGCCCCTTGGTGCTCCCCGCTGGGAGGCGGGGTGGGCCTGAGGACCGCCCGGCCCTGCCTTCAAGAGGACGGGTCACTACTGCAGACCCCACCGCAAAGATCCGGTCAGCCCATTTCCTGACGTCCACAAGGCCTCCCTGGAACCTCCCCAACCCTGGTTTGCCCCGATCCAGGAGCCCGCTTGACCAAAGCCTAGTCCCGTCCCTTTAACATGCCCCCACCCCTTTCCTGTGGTTTGGGGTGCGTCCTGCTCCGAGGCCGTTCCTCTCTGAAGGACACTCTGACTAGTCCCGGTGTGTTCGTGTCCCGAGCAGACAAGGCTGGTGGGGGCCCTGCACGGCCCGTTTCCGCTGGCTCAAGCCCCGGCTAGAGAGCACAGCTGGACCGCGAGCCCGCACATTGGCGGCGCTCTCCGTCCTCCGGCCGCCCTGACATGGGCCCTGCAGGAGGGTTTGGGGGAAGCAGCAATGGAGGGGTACTCGGGGGTCTTCAAGCGTGGCTCAAGACACCCAGACAGAGGAGGGGGTACCTGGGAGGGGAAAAGAGGGCGTGGGTGTGGACGCGCTGGCAGGATCCAGCCCAGAGCTGAGTCCCGGCAGGGCGTGAGTCAGGCTGTCTGCCCAACACCGACGGGAGGCCCCCTAGGTGGGTGCCAGGGTAGTGGGAGGAGGGAAGAAGATGCATGGGGTGGATGAACGGGAGGGAACGTAGAGGCGGTCCAGAAGGGACTCCTACCCGCTAACGTAGTGGGGGACAAAAAAGATTGGACGTTCCCAGCTGGGAGCGGGTGCCGGAGCGAGCTAGTTGACCAGGGCGGGCTCTCCTGGAGGGGTGGGGGTATGACTACACGCACGAATGGCCTCCCGTGCTTGCTCTGGCCTGGCCCTATGCTGTGCGCTGGAGACATGAGGCTGGCGGCCAGGCTCCGGTCCCGGGAGCGCACATTCATCGGTCCACGGCCCTCGCTCACTAAGAGCGAGTGACCCTGAGAGGGAACTAGGCCAGGCCTCGCAAGTGCCCTCCTGGAGCTGCCAGCACTCCCCATCGCGGCCAGGACAGGACATCCTCCACACCTCTATTCGCGGCTCTCGCCCCAGCCCCGTGCACTCCCGCCCATCCCCCCAACGCCTGCGCGCCCGCCTTGGCCTAGCGCGTTTGCACCGGCCACGCGCCCCGCTCACCCCACCCGCCTTCCTTCGCGGCTTCCCAAGTCCGGCCGCCCTGTCCCCTGCCCCCCCCCGGGGGGGGGGCCTCAGCTTTCCGCCCAACGCCTGAGGGCTGGCTGGCCAGGAATTACCCTGGACCAGGATTATTTCCAGGGGGCGAACGCTTTCCAACCAAGTAAAACAGAACTCAAATGTAGACATTGCTTCCTCTTTGGGGGTGGGGGAGTTGTGGGTGGGACTTCGACGGAGGACCTCGGACCGGCTGGGCCCGGCTGGGCGGGTGAGGGAGGGAAAGGAAGAGGGCCTTGGGACGCGGTGGGGGACGGGGAAGAGGGCCTTGGGACGCGGTGGAAGGACACGGAGGAGGGCCTCGGGACGCGGTGGGGGACGGGGAGGAGGGCCTCGGGACGCGGTGGAAGGACACGGAGGAGGGCCTTGGGACACTGGGGGACGGGGAGGAGGCCTTGGGACGCAGTGGGGGAGAAGGGCCTCGGGACGCGGTGGAAGGACACGGAGGAGGGCCTCGGGACGCGGTGGGGGACGGGGAGGAGGGCCTCGGGACGCGGTGGAAGGACACGGAGGAGGGCCTCGGGACGCGGTGGAAGGACACGGAGGAGGGCCTTGGGAC